AAGGAATTTACCTGTTAATTAGGGCTGCCCGAAGCACTCGTCGTGGGAGTTTGAGGTCGGCTGTGATACCTGTGCAGTCAGGGGACCCGGAGCCACCAAACCACTGGTAGGTCTTGCTTGGAAAAGTACTGTTTATGCGGGGGAGGATTAACTTTTGTCTTTTGTCGTTAGAATCCAATTTTTTATAAAATTTAAAAAATAGGTAAAAATTTACAACTTTCTGCTAAAAACCAAAAATCGATATTTCGACCAAAATTGCCGATTTCCAAGCCAAATTTGAAATTTTCCAACAGTTTTCCATTTCTTTTAGCTTCACTTAAATATGGTTACATTTTGTTAAAACATTAATAAAGAAATTCCACTTCCAAGAATATTCCAAACAAGAAAAAGATTCCACGAAAATAGAGATCGACCAAAAGTTCAGAACTAATTTTTACGTTAAGATTAAAATCGAATATACGCTTTCAGGGATGCGCGATGAAACCACGTTGGCGATGCCAATGTGACGATGGATTTGCGCGACTTTCTCATGAGGATGGAGGGGATTGTATGCGGGCAGATACCTGCCCACCCAACGATTCCCTACCCGACGGGTCACATGAAGACTAGATACCTGGCCCACGTCTGTTAATAAAGTTACCGTCTACAAAATGCAGACAGTGTACCTGATATTGTATCCAAAAAAGATATGTAACGCCCTACAAAAATGGTTAGAGTGCAGTTTACCCCCCCCCACCCCCCTCCCCCAGCCGGCGCCCAACTTTTGTATCTCGGCCGCCTGTTCATCTACAGGTGTGTAAAATATACGAAAATACTCGCCACAGCAAGACGAACATTTTGGTATACTTTACACACCTGTAGATAAACAGGGAGCCGAGATACGGTAGGTGGGGATCGGCTAGGAGGGGGGCTAAACTGCATTTAAGCCCAACAAATCCGCAATTTGAATTTTTAAAACCAATATTAGTGCTCGAATATCACATATTTTTCTATTGTAGTGAGTAAAGTTTACTGCTGCTTTCGGCGTAGCAAGAACTTCAAAAAGGGCCCTGAAGACGGACGCTACAATTTAGTCTCTACAGGGTGTCCCAAAAAAAAAGACACCGGCCGCATTTCTTCATATCGGGTCCGATCGACTTGAAATTTTGCACAAAGGTTGCGAAGCCAATTTCCCATGAACACAGAAAGTTTCAGCCCCATCCGTCAGGGTATTCGAAAGTTATAGCGAAAATACTTTTTATTTTTTATTTAGTATGGGGACTTCTGTAATTTGCATCAAAAATGTGCGTGATTTTGTCATTTACGAGCTGATTTTGCATAATTTTTGCCGAAAAATTCCATTTGCTGCTTTGAGCTTCGTAAGAACGATTGCGCAAGAGAAACAAAATGCCGTCAAAACAATAGTTTTTTGAGCACTCAAACACATTTTATTGAAGGTTTGGTCAATTTGAAATACCTTGAATCGACACAGCACTCGACCAGCTCCAAATTAATGATTAAATCCAAATCGGGGCTTTATACCTATGCGCAAGCCCGAGTTATAAATTAAGTCAACCGGCGAACTTATGTTACAATTCTGGTTTCTTGTACCCGGCCGTTGTGTGGATCATTTTTACTTCACATGCGCAATCGTTTTTGCGAAGCGCAAAACAGCAAATGGCATTTTTTCGGCAAAAATTATGCAAAATCAGCTCGTAAATGACAAAATTACGCACATTTTTGATGCAAATTACAGAAGTCCCCATACTAAATAAAAAATAAAAAGTATTTTCGCTATAACTTTCGAATACCCTGACGGATGGGGCTGAAACTTTCTGTGTTCATGGGAAATTGGCTTCGCAACCTTTGTGCAAAATTTCAAGTCGATCGGACCCGATATGAAGAAATGCGGCCGGTGTCTTTTTTTTTGGGACACCCTGTAAACTTTAGAGCAAGGAAACGGCAAAAAAATCGCAAATTCTACCCGATTTGCATGCAAAATTTGAATACGGAATCTGGAACCGGATCCGGAAGTCGGCACTCGTTTTTTCTTGGAAAAATCTAGATCTCATTGTGTCTGTCATTGTGTGCGGATCGGCATCTCCTCATCCGCGATGGCCCTCGAGTGCAAGGACTTCGAGAATGAGGTATTTGGCAGTAATCTCTCGTATGCAAATTAGGTTCTTTTCCATTATCGGGGGGGGGGGGGGCTAATTTTTTCTAAAGGTTTAGAAATACCTAGTAACTAAATGGAAAGTATCGTAATATTGTTTTTACGTGAATTTATCTCTATTTAGGTCCAAAAACGTGCTTACAATTTTTAAAAGTTCTAATTTCGAGATTTTACCGAAAAATCGATTTTTTTGCTTTTTTTAGTAAAATTTGTGAATTTCTCCAGTTTTCAAGATATAAAATAGAATTTTTGATTTAGATGACGGAGGTGGACCGACTGCTCGAGGACTACGAGGGCGAGAAGGCGCTGTCGGTGTTGGAGGGGCTGGAGGAGCGCGTCGGCGAGCAGTCATGGGCCGAGTTCGCCCATCGCTTCGCCCAGGCCAACTATATCGTCTACAATCAGATGAGCAGCGGCACCGCCAAGGAACGCCAGCAGTTGCTCAAGAAGGGTACGCGATCATGGCGTTTTTTTGGTACTGGTTCGTTAACGGGGGAGTCACAAGTTTGGTCGCGTATTTTCCTCAAGAACCGCTGATAAATCCCATCATTTTTAAGGCCTGGCCGCCGTGGAGAAGGCGCACAACCTGGACAAGACGCATCTGGCCGTGTTGACGCAGTGTGCTGTGTTGACGGGTACACTGGCTGAGGCGAGCTCTGTCGGTGATCGCGCCCGCCTTGGCTACCAGTTCAAGGTCGTTTTCCTCGGCTTTATGTCAATATTTATTTTGTTTTCACAGATTTTTCGAATTTCCTTTGGATAAACTTTACAAATTAGAAAAACCGTCTTTTTTTAGCCAAATAAGAACTTTTTTGAGCCAAAATGACCAAAATTTCGGATTTTCAACAATTTTTTATGGGTTAGAAATGTCTATAACTTAGTAAAAACTATTTTCATAATGTTTTGAGTAAAATAAAAGTATCTTTCAGCTAGGAAACTTAAATAAAAACTTTTGGTGCAGAACTTGTAACTCCTTGTTGAACTGCTCGAACATGTCGTCAACTTTTCAGGTGTACCTCGACGCTGCCCTGGCCCAAGCACCCGACGACTTTTCGCTGCTCCACATGCGCGGCCGGTTCCTCTTCCACTTGTCCGAGTTGTCCTGGCTCGAGAAGTGAGTCTCAGCTCCGGAACTGAGCCTCAACTGGTAGATGACAGTCGTCTTCTTCAGGAAGGCGGCCTCGGTGCTGTTCGTGAAGTTGCCGGAAGCGAGCTACGATCTGGCGCTGGTTGATCTGTTGAATGCCCACCGGAAAGTGCCGTTGGCCATCGACAATCTGCTGTACATTGCCAAGTGCTATTTGGGGAAGAAGGACAAGGGCGAGGCTCGCAACTACCTCGAGACGGTCGGTACCTGATCCTTTGAGCCGGGCTTAGGTTTTGGCTCAGACTTCGACTTCGACTTGGTTTAGCTTCTACGAGGCTTAGGCTAGGCTTAGGCTTGGCTTAGGCTCGGCTTAGGCTCGGCTTAGGCTCGGCTTAGGCTTGGCTTAGGCTTGGCTTAGGCTTAGCTACGTGTCAGGCTTTGGCTTAGCTTAGGCTTGGCGTAGGCTTATGCTTAGGATCAGGCATATGCTTAAGCTTCGCTTAGGCTTAGGCTTTGCCTTTGGCTTGACTTAGCTTAGCTTAGGCTTAGCTTCGGTATAAACTTAAGCTTGGCTTAGGATTAGGCTTAACCGTACCCGTGGATTACTCTTGGTTAGGCTTGCTTAGGCGTATCCTTGTTAGACATTACCCCCCCGCTAACAGACTAGAACCACTTAAGCTAATTTCCCCTTTCAGCTGGTCAACCTGGAGGCGATCGATGCGACCGACGAGGAGCAAATTGCCGAGGGCCGCGAGATGCTGAACAAACTTGGATAAAGCCATCACTTATCACGTTTTCTCTGGATCTCTTGCTCAATCTCGTTCTCTCGTCGTTTTTCTCTTTCTCTCGTCTCCGCGTTTGTGCTTGGCCAGTCTTATCCTCTCTCTCCTTCTCTGCTCCCCGCGTATTCCTTGCTCTCTCATCTATTCTCCTCCTCGGGCAATCGGGGCGTATTTGAATTCCCTTCGTGGTGTCGGCATGTCAGTTAATAAAGCATCTTGAATGTGTTGACGATCCCTGGCGAACATTTTGAAATAGTCGGCGCATTAAAGGACTGATGACTGAGGAGCTGGAGCTCGGCGGGATAAAATAGACTTTAGCTTATTAGCCGATACTGCCTGCATGTGAATTCGAGAATTTGAATATTGTGTTCTTGTCTCAAAGTCTTGCGAATTCATTGAACTTGCTGGATCTGATGGGGTTGCCCGTGAGGGTGCTTACCCTGTTGCTCATCTACTGCCTACAGTTGGGCAAAACGGCAGGTATCGTTCGCTCGCTCTCACTCCCTCTCTCACCCTCTCGCTCTCGCTCTCTCTCTCTCTAGCTCTAGCTCTCTCTCTCTCTCTCGTTCTCTCTTTCTCTCTTTCCCCTTCTCTCTATCTCTCTTTCTCCCCTCTCTTTTTCTCCCCTCTCTCTTTCTCCCTCTCTATGTAGCTCTCTCTCGCTCTCTCTCTCCCTTCCTCTTTCTCTGTCTTTCTCGCTCACTCTCGCTCTCTCTCACTTTCTCTCACTCTCTCTTTATCGCTCTCTCCGTGTAAATTAATACCATAGACGTCACTTCAGAACTCGCAGCTCCGGCGCAACTCCAACCAATCCGTCGTTCTGCCTGTTCGGTGCTGAGCCGCCCGTTCGACAACGAAAACGATAATTGTATTTCACTGTCTCGTGCTACTTTCGGGTCTGAAGTCGATGACCCGGGTCTCTTCTTGACGATCGTCACCCCGGGACAACCCACCGATACCGAGGAGCTGTGGTATCACTATGGTAAGTAGGGACAGAACGTACTTTCCTACAGCTCCTTTTCCCGCCTAGGCTGCCAAGAGCGCCAAGTCTTCTGCCGCAACTTCTACCAGGCGAGCGAGCACAAGCCGGTCGGCTGCTACTCGAATACACGATGGGATCCGACGATGTGCCATTGTGGTGGGATGACGGGGCTAAAATTCAGATACCTCACTTAACCGCTGTACCTTCTGGGAGCCGGCTCCTCCGCAAATTTGGGTTCTTATCTCTTAGCGGGGGGGGGAAGAGCGGAATCTTAACTTTCGCCTGTTTGCAGAACGCCTCAACGATACCGCGGCCCCAATTCTCGAGCTGGAGGCCAGTCTACACCTCCAAGATCTCTACTCGAGTTATATGAAGGTAAGACGAAACGTATTACAAAGGATCTATTTTATTACCGGGGGGAGGAACCAACCAAAAATAGAAAAATTCAGGAACCAAATTTTTGCTATAACCCCAGAAATGCCTAGGTGTTTTGGTAGTGCTTTTAGTAAAATTAAAATAGGTTTCAAGTAGAAAAATTATTCAAAAAATAAAATTTGTTTTTAATTGAAAAATTAAAATTGGAAAGGATCGGCCTTTTGTTTGAAAAATCGATATTTTCTAGATGATTTATAAAAATTTGTAACGTTTTGCCGCTTAGGAGTCTAATTCCTTAATTTTACTAGTAAAGTGGCATACTACAGGGTGTCCCAAAAAAAAGACCCCCCCAAAAATTTGAGCCAGAGGGCACCTACGGAGCTGAAAATTTGCACAGAGGTAGCGAAACCAATTTCCCATGTATATGGAAAGTTTGAGCCATATCGGCCGGCGGCTTTTAAAGCTATAGCAAAAATACTTTTCATTTTTAATTTAATATGGGGATCTTTGCAATTTGCATCAAAAATATGCATTATTTTTGAATTTACGAGCTGATTTTGCATAAATTTGGCCAAAAAAATGCCATTTTCTTGCTGTAATTTTTGGAAAACGATTGCTCATGCAGCGTGAAAACGATCATCAAGACCGCTGAGTACAAGATATATTGGCTGAAACTATCGTTCAGAGCCTGAACTTCGCTTAGACTTTGGACTGATTTAAACTCAAGCCCAAATCTTAACTTAATCACCACATAGAAGCTCATCGAACTCTGTTTCGGGGCTAGCGCGAAGCATATTGCCAAACTGCACAATAAGGCGTGGTTTGGATCGATAAAACAGTTGTTTTCACACTCTTTTTACTCCCCATACGCAATCGTTCGCGCCATGCTCCAGCAAGTAAATGGCATTTTTTGGCAAAATTTATGCAAAATCGGCTCGTAAATTCAAGAATAAAGCATATTTTTGATGCAAATTGCAAGAATCCCCATATTAAATTAAAAATGAAAAGTATTTTCGCTTTAACTTTAAAACCCGTCGGCCGATATGGCTCAAACTTTCCATATACATGGGAAATTGACTTCGCTACCTCTGTGCAAATTTTCAGCTCCGTAGGTGCCTTCTGGCTCAAATTTTTGGGGGGGGTCTTTTTTTTTGGGACACCCTGTATACCAAAAAGTACCCCCCGATAACGGGAAAGCACCTAAAATAACTGTTTTAGACAACAGACCCGTCGAACCCCAAATCGCGACAATGCTTGACGAGACCAATAATGCGCACCTGGGAGCAGGGCATCCAGATACCGAAGGTGGGGAGCTTGCGCCTGAGCTTCAACTTACACTCAAATGTCAGATTGTCCTCTGCGACGTGACAACCCCATACTATAGCCCGAAAGACGGCTGCAAAGAGGTTACCGATGCGCCGTACAGCGAGACGGCCGTCGCCTTCTACGAGTTCATCGATGATCTCAAGATTGTCTACAGTATTTTCGAGCTCAGGACGTTATACTCTTAAATTCCAGTGTGCCCCGACAAGGGCCAGGTCTTCTGCACGGATCGTACGAGGGATGGGGGCGCTCCAGAAGCTGTCGTGGCGGGATGCTACAATCCGGGGGTGCGGCAACATCCGAGGGAGAATTGTGTCTGTGATGGGACCACGACGGTTGATGATCGAAGTACGGTCTCTCTCACTATCTCTCTCTATCGCTCTCCCTCGCTCTCTCTCGCTCTCTCTCTCGCTCTCTCTTGCTCTTGCTCTCGCTCTGGCTCTTGCGCTTGCTCTCTGACTCTGACTCTCTCTCTCTCTCAACCTCTCTCTCTCTCTCCAGCTTCATTTTAGTGGATCCGAGCACCGAAGCAGAATTGAAACGCCGAACGTGGATACCGATTGAGGAGGGCGGCCGTAGATGTGGATCGAGAGCTCATCTGAATCGTACCGATGCGTTCCCGAAGGTATGTGGCAGAACTGTACGTCTTGATGATGATGCACGGTTCATTTCAGCCGCCGACAACGTCGACGACGTCGACGACCTCGACGACGACAACAACAACAACTACTACTACCACGAGTACAACTACGACCACCACTACTACAACTACTACTACCACAACGGTAGCATCAACAACTTCGAGCAGTTCAGTGGACTCAAGCTTCAGACCACCACTACCACGACGACGACGACGACGACGACGACGACGACGACGACGACGACGACAACGACCACAACAACAACGACGACGTCATCGACAGTAGTTGCATTGAACTGCTTGAACATGTTATTAGAGATTACCTATCATTATCTCGAAAATCAACATCTCGAAAATCAATATCTCGAAAACAAACATCTCGAAAGTTCATTATCTCGAAAGTTCATTATCTCGAAAGTTCGTTATCTCGAAAGTTCATTATCTCGAAAGTTAATTATCTCGTATTCGAGTAGAAAGATAATAATGCGAGATAATTAACTTTCGAGATAACGAACTTTCGAGATAACGAACTTTCGAGATAATGAACTTTCGAGATAATGAACTTTCGAGATAATTAACTTTCGAGATAACGAACTTTCGAGATGTTTATTTTCGAGATGTTGATTTTCGAGATGTTGATTTTCGAGATGTTGATTTTCGAGATAATGATCAATCCCCGTTTTTAGACCCCCACCACTACCACCACCATGAACACGACAACTATGCCGCCAACTACGACTCTGGTAGGCGACGCACTCGTGTCGATGAAGAACAATTTTAGCCTCCTACCACAACGACGAGTACTACTACAACTACCACCAGCAGCACGACGACGACCACTACCACCCCTACGACGACCGCTACAAGTACAACAGCTTCTACCAGTACAACTACACCGACTACAACGACTTCAACCAGCACAACGACTACGACGAGTACGACAACAACAACTACCACCACAACCACTAACATCACTATCGTTGATGTTGACGGAAGCGTTAAACACGATATGGACTATAGGTAAAAAACCGCCGGTACTGGTGTGTTAGCGGGGGGGCACGGCCATTTCGAAATTTTTGGGATTTAAGACGGCAACACCGCTAACTTGCCGAATATCCTTTAGAATTCCCTGGACGATCTTCTGGATCCACGCCCTCATCGTGCTGTCCTTCGTCCTGATGATGGTCATCTCCGCCTGTGTGTACGCGCCCTGGAAATATCGGCCGTCTGGATTGACCGTCGAAGTCGAACGCGAGCCTGAAGCTGCACTGCCTGAATTCGCGCAGCCGGAAGCTGTGCAGATGGCTGAGGGTGTAGCTGAACCTGTGGCTGACGCTGAACCCGCGCCGGTACAGGCTGTGGTAGAAGACGTCCAGGTGGGAGAGTCAGAGAGTGGGTGAGAGAGAGAGCGAGCGAGACAGATAGAGAGAGAGAGAGATAGAGAGAGAGAGAAGAGAGAGAGAGAGAGAGAGAGAGCCACAGATATTTAAAAATGTTTTTAGAACCCTGCCGAGCCCCCAGTAGACGAAGAACAACCGGAAGCTGTACCCGATCAACCGGCCGATTAGAAGCCCCTCCAGCCGCGCCATCAAGAACCCGAAAGCAAGCAGAATAACGTTACAGTTCACCGCTTCATGATTTTATTATACGATAAACGCTATTGGACGATAAAGTATTTGAATTACCTTTTCGTTTCTTTACTTTCTTCTGTTTGTCTGAATTTTCCCGCTATTTGCTTAGGGTACGGGACCTGCCGGGGAAAACGTCGAAAAATCACGGCCGACGTAGTCCCGTGAGAGCTAAAATCCCGACACCGAGATACCAACACCCAAAATCGCGACAGACCAAAACGCCGACATGGCAAAATAGATGTTTAAAAGGACGTGACAATCAAAATTGCGCCAAGAATTTGTCGGGATTTTGGCTCTCTAAATAAAGTTGTCGGGATTCTGATTATCGGGATTCCGCATTTCGGGATTTCGTCTTGTCAGGATTTGGGCCTGCCTGGTTGTCGAAATTTTGCTGTCAGCATTATGGCTGTCGAAATCGGGTTGCAGATATTTGACCTGTCGTGATTCTAGTGATCGAGATTTTTGCTGTCGGTATTATGGTTGTCGGGATTTTAGCTCTTAGGATTTTATCTATCGGGATTATGCGAGCCGGGTTTTGGTTTTCAGGCATTCGGTCAGGGTTTTGGCTTGTCGGGATTCCAGTCATCGAGATTTTGACCTGTCGGCATTTTGGGCTGTCGGGATTTTAGCCGGTCGAAATTCAACTGTCGGTATCTTTGGAATTCGTTTTTCCATCACCAACAATTCGTAAACCCAATCTACTTTTCGTTTGTTTTTTCTTTACCATTTCCCCCTATCTGCCTTCCCCCCGGGGACCATGACAGGTTAGCAACGACATTTGAGCAGCTCGGGCAAAACGACAAGAGAGCAACTGCGACTTTTAAGCAAACAGGCCAAAACGACAAGAGAGCAACTTTCGCAAGAAAAAAATAGAAAAGGCATATAAAATAGCAGTTTTCATTGCTTTTTCATAGTTTTAAAAATAATTGATGCTAACTAAAGTCTTCTAAAGCTTAAATTATACCCCAGATAGGCCGGTTTTCGCCGGATATATGTTTTTTTTCAGCTAATTCGCTTTGCTGCTGCTAATACACTACTTAATAAAAGTTTTGTGCTTTTGTATAGTTTTCTTGTCGAAATCATAGAGAAACAACATTCTAATATCAGGAAAGTATAAATAAGTGCCAAACGTGATTTTTTTTCCTCGAAAAGCCCAACCAATCGCCAATAAAGTATACGTTTTGATTACTTTTCCTTTTCCAAAGTTCATTTTATCAAACATGTGGATGCGTCTACGCGGAAATGCTACGGACAAACCAACAATAAGGTGAAAACCGGACAAAACTATGTTTTTGAGTGAATACCCACAAAACGGCGTCATCGAAGACTCACGGTTCGAAAACCGGCCTATCTGGGATATAATTTAAGCTTTAGAAGACTTTAGTTAGCATCAATTATTTTTAAAACAATGAAAAAGCAATCAAACTGCTATTTTATATGCCTTTTCTCTTTTTTCTTGCGAAAGTTGCTCTCTTGTCGTTTTGGCCTGTTTGCTTAAAAGTCGCAGTTGCTCTCTTGTCGTTTTGCCCGAGTTGCTCAAATGTCGTTGCTAACCTGTCATGGTCCCTCCCCCCGGGCTACACGCCAGTCCTTTGCACGCTCTACCCTGTGCCCCCTCTGCATCCACCACCCCGATCACCCCCCATATGAGCGTTTGCACAGCACAGCTGATCTGAAGCCGCCCGCAAAAAGCTTCAAAAACTTGGCTTCCGGGTGATGAGCGGCGGTTTTGCGGTGCCACACGATTTGCCGCGCTCCAGAACGACCTCCTCAGCCGAAATGATGGAGCATAATGTAGGTTTTAAGCCCGGAAAAGCGTTTCGTAAATATTTTCGAAACTGTGATCACAGCTTTTTGGTCTAGAAAGGTGCGTAAGAATCTGAAACACATCTTTTTGAGCATAGTTTGTTGTATTTGAAGGCTTTTGCGCGTAAATAAACAATTTTTTATGGTTCAAGCGGTTACTAAAGTGGGTTTTTTAACCTGATTTTCGTAGGTTTGTTAATTATTTTAACTATCTAACTGGTATAATAGTTTGGAAAGCTTGTTATTTACTTTACAAACGTTTAAGACGTTGTTTTTACTCAAAAAATTTATTTTTTTTGCTCGTGGGCAGGGACCGCGCGCAGGAAGAACTGTTTTCGAAATAACTTAGACGCCAGAAAACGTTAAAAGTTACATTTTTAGTTTATAACGCTGAAAGTTCAAGGCAAGACCCCGTATAATATTTTTAGCCCTTAATGGATGATTTAACACTGATAGAATGATTTTGGAAAACGGCCTAATTCAGCAAATTCTAACAAACAATGTTTCACTCCGCGTCTACCCAAATTCACTTTCCGAAATAAATAATATTCCTCCGTAGGAACTTTTGAATAGTTTTACTATAATTACTATAAAATCTATAATTACTATAAAATCGATAAGTCTGCTTGGTTATAATTGTTATTCAAATAGTATTAGCTAAAAAATCCTAAAAACCACCCCTTTCAGTACCCGCAAGGAGAGCCCGACGACGACGTGGATATGGCTGTCGAAAGGTGGGTTATTAAGAAGTAGAAGTATTTGATGAATGAATTTTAGTGATGCCAGCGACGAGGAGGCACTTTACGATGGGACGGCTCCGTTTACACAGACGTTCAATCCGGACATAATTCTTCCGGATAAGAATTTGTCCTCAGATGACGATGACGACGAGGAGACGGTCGGCAGGCAGCATCGTGGGTTTTAGAATTTTTGATTTTCAAATGTTTCGGTAGAATTAAAAAGGTGGTAATAATTTTCGACAATTGATACAGCCAAATATTTTTACTGTAAAATCAAGAGCCATAACAGATTTACTTCTTATTTTTTCGTTTCTTTATTTGATATATTTTTAAACTAACTAATAAACATGGTATAACCTAATTAAACATGGTGTATGTTTCAGTTTTTAACGGTTTTCGATAACTACAAGTTTTTAAAAGAGCAGATCTGGTGAAGCATATAAACCTCTAATGCTAAAATAATAAGCATTTTAATAGTGTTTTTAGCAAAATTTTACTAGATTTCAAGTGGAAAACTGTTTTAAAACCTTCGAAAATTTACAATTTTTTGTCGAAAAATCGATTTTTTTGCATTTCTAAAATTGCGCAGTTCTTACATTTAGAAACCGCAAAAAAACCGTTTAAAGACACTTTCTCTTTTCATATTAAAAATATTGGATCCTAAAGCAAAAATCCCTCCCCCCCGATAATGCAAAAGCTCCAAAAAGGACGATTTTTACGTAATTTCACTCCAGAAATCGCTTTATTCACGGGTGAACAGGGCGTACAATTGTGATGGTAGATGTTTGTCGAATCAAATAAAAACAAAGACAGTAAGCCGATGATAGTTAGTGGGTGTTGGAGGGGGATGGCGTTTCACAAGAGCCCGCGGGCGAGTATATTTGGTGGGCGGACGTGGACCACGTTGTGCAGGATACCTAGGCGAAAACAAATGTTTCCTCTCAAAATGATTCCCTTACCATTCTCGTCCGACCAAAACGGGTGCTCGTGGTTGATCGCCCATTTACCGTCCACCACGAAGCGATACCTAGAGATTTACGGATTTTTCCTTTTTCTGCTCGTTAACGATCTATTCAATCGTTCTAACATTTTACAGCTCTTTTCGGTTCTTTAGGATTTCCGGGGGGAACCAATTTTTTTTCCTGGCGGTCCCGGTTGACCTAGTGATCGAATATCAAGTGTTTTCACATTGTTTTTAGTAAATTTTAACCATATTTAAGGTAGAAAAACTTTCAAAAAAAGTTTGAAAAATGTTTGAAAAAGTCGAAAATTTAATCATTTTGGGTCTTCCCCCCCTCCCCCGGAAATCCTAAAGAACCCTCTTTTCAAATCTTTTGAGAGGCCACGAAAAGGACTAGAAACAAAAAATGTGTTTCGGATTTTTTCTGTAGGTCCAGAAATTCCCATAAACGTAATAGTGGGTGTAGTATGAACCTTCAAGCCTTCTTCGTATAATTTAGAAATTTTTACTTCGTAAAATTATTTAAAGTGGGGAAACTCTCTAAAAAACTGAGAATTATGAACATTGGTCAAAAATCGATATTTTTGTATTTTTCAGTCAATTTCAATCGTAACGTTTTAAGTCAAAATTTTAAACAAAAACAGTTTAGAAACACGTCCGCTATTTTATGAGAAAACTTGGATTTCACTAATAAATACCTCTCCCCCGATAATCGAAAAGCGCCATTTTTCGTATGTTCTCAGTCCCTTTAATCCAATCAAATTTGATACCGATGATGTCCATAGGGCAACTGGTACTCGAGACGCCAGAATTGGCCGGCCTCGTCGCGCTCGAGCAGCAGCAACAGCTCCCAGTTGACGAACGAGCCGGTGACAAACACCTGCAGGGTGTCACGGTCCCTTTAGGATGGTTCCAATTACCCTTGTTGCCCTCTGGTCGAAGTATCTGAAGACGACACGCATCGTCGGGCAGTCATGGTCGATACACGGGAGAAGACCGTCGCTTTTACGAGGGACAGCTAAAAAGAAGAGGAGGGAGTGTTATAGAAAAAGAGAGCGATAGAGAGAGAGAGAGAGTGAGAGACAGAGAGAGCGAGAGAGAGAGAGGGAACTAAATCCTTTTTAAGCCACTTTCAACGCTCTGAAACTTTTGTAAGCTCTTACTAAACGATTTCTCGTCCTGACGCGACCGCAGCGTCACCAGCATTCCGCTGTAGACGAGGTGCAGCATTTTTTGGATCTAGAAGAAGTTTAACGGGGGCTTTAAGTTTTTACTTGGCGTTGAATAAATCATTGAAATCTGTGATTTTCATCGAAAAATCAAAAAGCTCCGCATCGGCTGGGGGTTGAACCCGGGTAGTGTGCCTGGGAAGCGGGTGCCAATTAGCTACAAGGCTATAATTGACTTTGATTTGATTTTTGTATTGGTTTTTTAATGCGCTGACCTGGTTGATTAGGGCCAAAAAGAAGACGCCAATCACGAGTGCCCCCAGCAAGTGGATGAACAGGTCGAATAGGTGGCCCGGCATCGCCCTGCCCGCCAACGAGTAGTCTGCGAGTAGAGAATTATCTGAATTTTTGTGCGATCTAGAGCTTATGCAAATTTTGTAATGAAATTTAAACGGTTTTGAATGGTCTAAAAGCCCGGTTTTCAGCCGGCTCGTCCCGCTCGGCGTTCTCCGGCCCGACGCAGCCCGACTTCATCAAGGTCGTACTCGAATTCCTGATCAACGAAGGCTACAAAGAAGCGGCTGAAGCTTTGTGCCAGGACACCGGCATCGATTTACCAAAGGTACGTTTTTAATAGGCTTTATAAAGCAATTTTTCCCGAAAATGTCAGGTTGTTTGAGGAAAAAGATCGAATTATTAGGAAAGAGACCGATGGATTTTCCTTGAAGTTTTTGTAAAACATCGATTTTTCTACAAAATCCAGTCGATGGTAAAACTGTAATTAGCGTTCTGTTTTACAAAGTCAATATTAATTTTAATTGATTCGCCACATTTCGAAAAGAGTTTTTCTGTTTTCGAGCCCTAGAACATTAAAAAAAACTAAAAGTGCATTAATTAATTTTTAGGAAAACATTTATTTTATTGTTGTTCTAATTTGGATTTAGCCATGCAATTTTATATTCCTATTTTCTTTTATGTTAACATTTATCGGCGAGAAAAAAGTTTGATTTTTAACCCTACGACACAGCATCAAGATTAAGAACAGATTTGCGGGATTTTTAACTGATTGTTGTGAAACATCCATTTTCTCCTGCCTTTAACTCGAACTTTTGATTGTAATGATAGGAGTGTATGTAGCAATTTACTATTGATTTTAGTTTATGCGGTAGGAATTTTCCATTGTCGTTTCTCAAACAATTAAAAGGAAACCAAACGCTCAGCTACCTATTTTTTGTAAAACAGTTGTTTATCACTGTTTCGGCATCTGGAAGACCCGTTCAATGGGGATATGAATTTTATTCCAGCGGGTAAAAACTAAAAAACTTTATATTAAATTTTTGTAAAACATTTATTTTTCATCCAATTTTAATGATAATGACTAAAGGGAAATCCCAATTTATTTTGTAAGCTAAAGCATTATTATATTTATACATTAAGAATCTACAAAAAGCGCCGCTATTTAGTCGTTTGTAAACAATTTATTTGAATGCTTATGTATGTAGTGTATGGTTTAATATTACTTTTATTTTAGTTAGGTCGCGTGATTTTTTGGGGAGAAAATCCTCTTTTAAATAATGTATTTTTGCTAAAGTGCGAACCAAAAAGTTTATTTTGTTTCGACAGCCACGCTGCATTAAGGCGAAACTTAAACTTTTCAGCTTTAATTTTTGCTAAACATTTATTTTCATCGCTTATTTTGAGTATGGTTTTTATAATTATTTTTCAGGAAGAAATCGACCACCTCGACGCGCGGGTGACGATCAGGGAGCTGATTGAAGAGGGCCGAATCGAAGAGGCCATTATAAAGGTTCGAATTTGCATAGGATTAATTAATAAACTTAATGGGTGTTAAGTTAAATTACTTTAAAAAAAATAAATAGTTTGTCTTGTTAATTTATATCATCATTATTAGTGCTAATTTCATCATTTTCGATGTGGTTTTTCAGGTAGAGCAACTTTGCCCGAACCTCCTCGCCGACCACCCGGCCGTCCATTTTCTGATGTTGCAGCAGAGCCTCATCGAAATGATCCGCAATCAGTGGGTTTTTTTTTGGAGATTTTGTTTGCCTCGAGTCCCTTTGTAAACTTTAATAGTTCAGTTTCACTTTATTTTTATTTTTTTGCAGCAAAACCGAAGAGGCGCTGATGTTCTCCGAGGCGCACATCGCCGGCAAGGACGACCAACTGACGCCGCAACAGGTGGGAAAATGCAAAAATTCTGGCAGCGACTGGCTACAAAAACGAAGCGTATCGAAAAACCATCTAAAAACCTGGAAATTTTTAAAAATTCGCAATTTTTGTCAAAAAAATCGATATTACAAAAATTTAACCAACTTTTAATCAAGATTTAATTTTTCAAATATAAATATAAATTTATTATTTTTTGTTACTAGTCCTAAACGTGTATACGTCACAAATTGCCAATAAAAAAATACGAAAAGCATCGATTTTTCGACTAAAATTGGCCATTTTTTACCAAAATTCCAATGTTTTGAAATATTTAAAAAGTTTTTAGAGTGGTTTTTAGTTGAAACATCGTTACATTTTACTAAAAACGGGATTAAAACAGTGTTTAAGAAGTTATCGGATATTTTTAGCCTCATGCAAAAAGTCCACCCTCCCGGTTAATGAAAAAGAACCAAAAATATGTAAATTCCAGCGGGAAGACCTGGAGAAGACGTTCGCCCTGCTGGCTTTCGAAAACCCGCTTGAATCACCGTTTGGTGGATTGCTCAATCACACACATCGACAACAGGTGGGCTTTAGAAACGCAGAAAGGGGGGATTTGAAACGTTAAAAACACAAAATTTAATTGGTCTAAATTTTCAACCATTTATTGAACACAAGATAAAACCCATTTTTAACCGTTTATTACAACCACTTGTCCAAGAAAATAATAATGATAATCGCTTAAATCGAGTCGCCGGAAGGAATGTAGCTTGTTGTCTGGTCGGGAGCGGTGCGCGACGCCTCACGAAGGCAGCGCCGCCGCGGTCAGCAGCTCTAAAAGATTGTGGATTTAAAAGCAACCAATTTTTAAATCAAATAAATAAGTAAATTTAATTTGGAGTAAATAGAATTTAAAAGAATTACTATATTTTTAGCTTCTTTCAAAGTCATCGACAAGTAAATTTGATTTGCGCAATTCAAATGATAGTTTTTTGAAACACAATTTTTTGCCAAAAGTTTAGATGAAATCGTAAGCCTCTTAATATCTGACTTTTTATTGCGTTTCTCGGTTTTTAAGATCTCTAAAAATTACGCTGAAATAAAAATTAAGTCAGGAAAATATTGATCTCAACCTTAAAAATTGATATGTTTCAAAAATGTGTAAGGTTCAACAACAAAAATTACAAAATTATTTCCGTTATCCAATCACTTACCCTCCTTGAGCGTCTTCGGCGCCTCCTCGCAGGTGACCTCCTAAATTTGCATTTTTGTTATGCTAATTTTTAACGAAATCCGGTTTTGGCGAGCTTCAAGGAGCATTGAAGCCAAAAATCCAAGCAATACCTTAATTTTCGAAGCGTTCGGCTTCATGTGCAGCATGCCGCGGAGACCGGGCTTCTCTAAAAAAGAAATAGGATAAGCGGATTCTGAAACACTTAAAGTTTTTATGTTTGTATCCAGTTGAATTCAACATTTTATTTTTAGGTAGTATTGATACTTAAAATTCTTTTTAATTTAATTGTAAGAAACGGTTTAAAAAATTATCTCTCACTCTTCTTCCGCGACTTTTCCGAATCAGCGGCGGTGGCCAGCGTCTGATCCTTCTCTAAAAAGGGAAAAATTAATCGATTAGGCCCTGAAAAAGACCAGAAATCTTTCCCTCACCCTCTCTCCCGCCCTCTCTCTCATTCTCTCTCCCTCCCTCTCTCTCTCTCTCTCATTCTCTCTATCTCGCACGTTCTCTCTCTCTCCCAGAACTCACTCTTTTTCTTCGTCTTTCCCGACTTGTTGCCCTTCACGCTGGGGTCGCACTTGGTGCGGTCGCCGGCGCGCTCTGAATTTCAAAACTCTATGCTTCAATCTTGCAAATTAAAGCCATAAAAGGAATAACCCACTCTTCCTGGACTTGTTGCTGACGTCGTCGTCGCAGGCGGTGAGCAGGTCGGGGGTCGGCTTGGACAAGGTGGTGCCCTTCTTCTTCTTGGTCTGCCTTTTCGCGCCGGCGCCCGGCTGGCCCGACTCGGTCAGCGACAGGCACACCGATTTCGGCTCCTAGGTCGGATTTTTATTTTTGAAGTTTTTATAATATTTTAAGCATGCTTTTATTAGAATTTAATCTAATTTAAAGGCGAAAAACCATTTACCCTCCCCCCGTTAATGCGAAAGCTCCGCACAAACCTTCTTCTTCTTCTTCTTTTTCTTCTGGTGGCGGCGGCCAGGGCACTTCGTAGACTGCTTCAAATTTCGGTTTTGGAAAGATTTTAGGGAAGACCAAGCCTAAGCCAAGCCTAAGCCAAGCCTAAGCCAAGCCTAAGCCAAGCCTAAGCCAAGCCTAAGCCAAGCCTAAGCCAAGCCTAAGCCAAGCCTAAGCCAAGCCTAAGCCAAGCCTAAGCCAAGCCTAAGCCAAGCCTAAGCCAAGCCTAAGCCAAGCCTAAGCCAAGCCTAAGCCAAGCCTAAGCCAAGCCTAAGCCAAGCCTAAGCCAAGCCTAAGCCAAGCCTAAGCCAAGCCTAAGCCAAGCCTAAGCCAAGCCTAAGCCAAGCCTAAGCCAAGCCTAAGCCAAGCCTAAGCCAAGCCTAAGCCAAGCCTAAGCCAAGCCGGTGCTTCCTGGTTATCGGGGGTCGGTTATTTTAGCGGGGGTCGGTTGCGAACTTTTTTCTATAATATCGTGCGGCTCGGCTAATTAAAAACTGGCCGTTTTTATAGACTTGTGCGCCGTTTGAAATGGTCTGGACTGTTAGCGGGGGAGGAGACATTAAGAAAAACGTCATAAAACATGTTGAAAAAAAATTTCTTTTCGGTCTAACGTATATGAAAATGGCTAAAACCGCGCTATAACCCTAGATTTCGTGACTATAGGATAAATGTTTTTATAATTTTTGATTATCGGAAGCTACTAAAAACAGTATTAAAATAAACTACAATTTATCACTAGGCAGGTATAGGCTAAACGAAAAGAAGATGCCAACCGACCCCCGCTAAAATAACCGACCCCCGATAAACAGGAAGCACCGCCAAAGCCTAAGCCAAGCCTAAGCCAAGCCTAAGCCAAGCCTAAGCCAAGCCTAAGCCAAGCCTAAGCCAAGCCTAAGCCAAGCCTAAGCCAAGCCTAAGCCAAGCCTAAGCCAAGCCTAAGCCAAGCCTAAGCCAAGCCTAAGCCAAGCCTAAGCCAAGCCTAAGCCTAAGCCAAGCCTAAGCCAAGCCTAAGCCAAGCCTAAGCCAAGCCTAAGCCAAGCCTAAGCCAAGCCTAAGCCAAGCCTAAGCCAAGCCTAAGCCAAGCCTAAGCCAAGCCTAAGCCAAGCCTAAGCCAAGCCTAAGCCAAGCCCAAGCCAAGCCTAAGCCAAGCCTAAGCCAAGCCTAAGCCAAGCCTAAGCCAAGCCTAAGCCAAGCCTAAACCAAGCCTAAGCTCATGCTCGTCTACCGTACCCAAGCATCATCACTGAGCGACGTCTTCAGACTGTCCTCCTCCACCGAGTGGGGAACTTCAAGGCGTTTCGTGACAGCTTCCTGCCTGGGTCCCGGGGCATCATTGGTCGTTGGGAGTGTCTCGTAGTGGGTGTGGAGCAGATCGAACACCCAAAAGTGTCTGTTTTAAAGGGATAGGGACAGCAGGAATTTTTGGGGAAATCAGTACTGGACTGTTAGCGGGGGTGCTCTGAATTTGGCCTGCTAAACGTAATTTTTACCCCACCCCCCTCAAAGAGCCCAGTACCGGATCATCGAGGCAGGCTAGCAGATATCCCTTAGGAAATCGCTGTTCTGACCTTGAAATGGATCTTGGGCCCCGCGACGGCCGGCTTGTGTGCGGACGGCTTGACCACGCTGCTAAAGGCTCTACGATAGGAGAAGCAACCCATAAACCCACGCAATCATCGACTTCCCGCCGGCCGTCCTCGTCTTGGTCGGGCCAGGGCTCACCGGGGTCGTTTTTCTAGAAATCAGGAGGTGTTTTTCAAAATCCGGGGTCGTACTCCTTGCTGTCGGCGGTTGGCTGGGTGCTGGACGGCTTGGCCTTGGCGGGGGAGGCGGCGGGGGTGGTCGTCTCCTTCGATTCTTTCGATTTGGTGTCACTGTCCGTGAACACTAAAGAGGGGGTGTTGGAGTCAGAGAGAGAGAGAGAGAGAGAGAGAGAGAGCGAGAGAGAGAGCGCGAGAGAGACAAGCGTGCGAGAGAGACAGGGAAAGAGAGCGAGAGAGAGAGTGAGGAGAGAGAGAGAGAGAGATAGAGAGAGAGAGCCCGAGAGAGAAACCCACTTGGCTTCCACTTTCCGCCAAAAAAGTCTTCGCCACGGCAGATGTGCTTCGACTGGGTCAACACGTAGGGGTACACCAGATCCTCGTGCAAACGTCCGGCCACCTGAAATTCACCACAAATGCCGTAATCCGGTGAAAAAACTACCGTAATGGTGCGATTCGAGTTCTCGGAGTGGGGCGTACAGCGGAGCGTGATGTAGTCCCGATTCACCCAACGGGCCACCCATCGCACCTAAAAATTGGGGGGTTTGTCGGAGCTTGTGTATTAGCGGGGGTTTCTACCCAGTAGGTACGTTAGTAGTAATGTACCGTATAATCGCTTTTCGGGGGCACACGCCGCGAGACGGTCGGCTCCCGCTTCCGCGCACAGCACGACATAGTAGTGCTGCGGAAAAATGGGATAAGTTGACTAATTTGAATTTTTTTATAATCTACTTTCCTGTTTTATTTCGCTATTTAAGCCAATAGAGCTTAGAAAAATTTAAAACATTAAAGAAAAAAGGGAGAAAATAAGAGTATCAAACCCCTGAACCTTAAAAATTCATTAAAATATTATTTTAAAAGTCCTGATAAAAAATTAAAATCTGGCCAATAAAAAATATTGAAAAACAAATAAAAAAGAAAAAAAGTTTTGAAAAAGTAAACATGACCTTTCAAAAAAACCGACCCAATACCGGCACTGCAGTCGTAAAAAATGGGCAGTAAAATTTCAGTAATTCAGTATCGGCTACCAAAATCTATGCAAATTTATGTAAATCAAAATTATGCTAATTTTGCAGGTGTCAAATGCGGTGAACGCGGCGGTGTTGGGCGCCCTCAACAAGCCGTCGCGCCCGAAGATAGAAGTGCTGTTCAAGATGCTGGTGAGTTTTCCCTCTCTATCCCTCCCTCTCTCTCACTCTCTCTCTCTCTCTCTCTCTCTCTCTCTCTCTTTCTCTCTCATCTCCCTCTTTTTCCAGGTCTTCGCCCAACAACAAATCCACGGCGTCACCCGACCCGATGATGCTCTACCAGATGCCGCCAACGTGGCTGCTCTGCTATTTGGAGGGAAGACGGCTCAACCGACGATGCCTATGTCATAGCGTAACGTAGCGGCAGTGTCCACCAAAGATCTGTACCTAGAGCACTACACACAACATCTATGTACATCCCTTTACTGCTCCCTCCCTCTCTCCCTCGCTCTCTCACTCTCTTTATCTCTTGCTCTATCGCTCTCTCTCCGCACCCCACCCATCCTTCAGTGATTTCTACGATAATTTATGCTATGTTTTTGTGTATAAATTTTTTAATACTTTGTGGCCTGTATTTTGAACACATGAAGGAGAAGATGAAGAAGAAATGCAAGAGAGAGAGCGAGTGAGAGAGAGAGAGCCAGAAAGACGAGAGAGAGACTTAGTAAATGCATCAATTCGAGAAATTTATTCCGCAAATCGTTGGCCAGAGAATATATACACAATTGAGCATTATTGGTTAGCTTGTTCGAGCGTAGAATTCGGGTCGTAGCGTCGACGTTCAAGCATTCGACGACGGGGTGGTGGTCGTGTCGCGGCCTTCCTGAAAGAACTTGCAGTGGTTGAGAGAATAGGCAATCTGATGCTTTTCTTTTAACGGGGGGGGGGGGTGGTGGTCTCTCTCACTCTCTCTCTCTCCCCCCCTCTCACTCTCTCTCTCTCCCTCTCTCTCACTCTCTCTCTCTAACCCCACCTCATCCGCTTCCGGTGTCTCCGTCGCCTCCTCGCCATTATCCGGGGTCACCGCATCCGGATCATCAGCAGGTGCCGACTTGAGCAACCACAGCCCAACACCAAGGATTCCGATTTCGATGATGATGACGACGGCGTGGCCGATGATTGTTGGCACGAAACTCCTAAAAATAGCTTTTTTTCAGCTCTAAACCCCCTACCCATCGTCCTCTTCTTCACCAGGTGCACTGGCCGTGCTCACTTGCGGCGGGGTGGCGCTCGCGGTGATATCGGTTTCACTCGTGCTCACTGTATCAGAGCTTGACGGAGGCGTGGACTCCGCTGTAGTAGTTGTTGTTGTAGACTCCCGTGTAGTACTCGCCGTAGATATGGTTGTAGGCGCGGTAGATGAGGCCGTCGTGCTTGGAGTCGTCGGGGGCGTTGGCCTTGCAGTTGGCTTTGTCGTGCTGGCGGTGGTAGTCGTCGCCTTTGTGGTCGTGGTGGTGGTCGTCGGCTTCTTCGTGGTACTGGTGGTCGTTGCCTTCGTGGTAGTGGTCGGTGCCTTCGTCGTGGTGGTGGTAGTCGTCTTCTTCGTGGTGGTGGTCGTGGGTGGAGGCGTCGTCTTTGGAGGTACCTGAAAAGGGTATCGAGGTACTTTCCCATTACCGGGGGGGGGAGAGAAATTTTTTAAGCGCCGTTTTTTAATATAAATAGCGGAAGTGTTTCTAAACTGTGTCTTTTATTCTATTTCTAAACGTAAAAAGTTTATCAATTTTTCATTAGAAAATACAAAAAACAGAATCGGTTTTTCGACCAAAAACGGCCGTTTTCCGACCAAAAAGCAAAATTTCAAAAATTTTTGAAAGTATCTAGATAGTTTTTATAGTTAAAATAAAATTATAGTTTACTAAAAACATTATGAAATATTTCTAGATTACTACAAGAAAATCCGAAAATTCGAAACAACCGGTTTCGAATTAAGGGTATCGAAAAATCTCTACCCTCGTAAACTGCTGATGAGCACCACAGAGCCGACCCGGTTCTCCCGCTGCCGGCACAGGCCCATCCGGGTTCAGCAGCTCCGGAAACGATTCTCGAATCGCGGCGCTCACTAAAAATCGGGCCGTTTGCCCAGCTTCCATAAAAACGTTTCAAATATTCTTGACAATTGAAAAAATGCCGACGCCCTTTCGCCATTTTTCATGCATTTCTGACCAAAAAGTGAAGGCTATTCGAAGTTTTAGCGAAATATAAACCATTTTATCGAATGTTACACGTTTTGATATAAAAAAGTTTATAAAAAAGTGTAACAATTCAGAAAAAACCCATACAAAATTACGAAAATTTTCGAAAATCTGAATCTAGGGCCAAAAAGTATGCAAAATGAACGTTTCCAAAGAAACTTGCAGATAAGAGAGACCGTTTACTTTCCGATCTTGGCTCCCCTTGTACCTACAGTGTTGTAAAATATACCGAAATGCTCGCCAGACCAAGACGAGCATTTTGGTGTACTTTACACACCTGTAGATCAACAGGGAGCCGAGATACAAGCAAAAAAATAGCCCACCCTTGTTCTCATTTTTCAGCTTGCCCTCATACTGGCCGTGTCCCGTGCCCGGAGTTTCTATAAAATCAGAGGAACCTCGCAGCCAATAATTAGGGACGGACCGCAAGTACACTCCTTGTTCTTCCCGCGATACCATCTCCTCCAAACACCCTCGTAGCAGCCGAGCTCGATGTTGGATATGCCGTTGTCCCACCATTGCTTGCAGAACATCTGGTCCTTCTTTGGGCACACTGCAATTTTTTTGGGTACCTGGGCTGTTAGCGGGGGGGAGAGAAAGTATATACATTTTTTGGTCTCTACCATTCTCTACTCTCTAAGTCTCTCTCGTTATCGCTCTCTCTCTCTCTCTCTCTCTCGCTCTCTCTTTCTAGCTCCCTCTTTCTAGCTCTCTCGGTCTCTCTCGCTCGATGCCTGTTAATAATTTGTAATGGGTACTGGGCTGTTAGCGGAGGGGGGAAGATTTTTAGCGGGGAGTAAGTTGATTTTTGTTCTTGGTTTTTACCTCTCACTCTCTCTCGCTCTCTCTCTCCCTCTCTCTCGTTCTCTCTCTCTCTCTCTCTCTCTCTCTCTCTCTTTGTCTCTCTCTTTGTCTCTCTCTCGCTCTATCTCTCTCATGGTTCATATTTTGTTATATGGCCGTAGAGAATCACCGGGAAAAATTGGTCCCTCCGTTAATAGAAATGGTATCAAGACTTACTGTAGATAACCTTCATTTTGTCTCCAGACGCTAGCGGTAAGATCTCGTAGAAGGCGACCGCGTATGCTTCGTACGGCCGTGCTGACAGCATGCGACATCCCGTGTTCGAGGTATACACCGGTCCCGTTACATCGCACATCACGATCTGAGATGGAGATAATGATGTTAGTACCAAACTATATACTTTAAGAGCAGCGAATAAGATAAAAACACAAAAAATGTGATGTAACAAAAAAATAAGCGGGGCTACCTGGGGAAGATCTTCCGCCACTCGCGGCCAGCCCACCGTCCCGCCGCAGCCTTTCTGTAAAGGGACTGGACTGTTATCGGGGGGGGGGGGGATTCAGGTAGAAACCAAATTTTCCCCCCAGTAATTGCGTACGGCTTTATAACGAAATATAAATGATTTTTATAGCATTTTACATAGCTTCAGGTTGCGAAATTGATAAAAAATTACGAACATTTGCGAAATTCATTGACTTTTTGGTTGAAATTGATGAAAAATCGCCAAAAAAGTAGAATTTTCGAATTTTAAAGATATTTTGATAACTAAAAACACTAGAAAAACTATAGTATTAGCAAATAGGTATAGCCTGAAAAACTTTTCCTCCTGCTAGAACCATCCACCCGCCGCTAACATTCCAGATCCCACCCATGAGGTTTTTGTATCTCAGCTCCCTGTTTGTCTACAGGTGTGTAAAGTATACCAAAATGTTCGTCTAGCTCTGGCGAGTATTTTGGTATACTTTACATACCTGTATATGAACAGGGAGCCGAGATACAACGGTTAGGAGGGAAGGTAAGCTGCATCCCCCCGCTAACAGTCTAGTACCGCAAAAAGCGAAACCCACCTTATCCTTTGCGTGCTTCTCGTACAAGTCGAGCACATGAACGCTGGCTGTAGTTTGTTAGTTGAAAGTGGTAGTGCAGGTTGTGTTACCTTCCATGGTGACTGTCGGCCAGGAGTCTTTGTCCCCAAAGGCCGCCCCAATACACTTGCACGTTTCCGCCTTGTGAAAAGCCACTTCAGAAGGGTAGCAACCCGGCAGCCAATCTCGATCGTCGTTTTGGATGTGGCCACAAAAAGTCATGCCCATATCGCAGCCTAGAAAAATGGGTGAGAGTGCAGTCCCCCCAGCCGACCCCCACCTACCATATCTCGGCTCCCTGTTCATCTACAGGTGTGTAAAGTATACCAAAATACTCGCCAGAGCAAGACGAACATTTTGGTATACTTTACACACCTTTAGATAAACAGGGAGCCGAGATACGGTAGGTGGAGGCCGGCTCGGGGGGAGGGTAAACTGCACTTAAGTCAAAATAAAAAGACACTTTTTACAGCTAATTACAAAAGGCGAGAGCCGCCGCTAACACCCTACCCCCGCTAAAAGTCCAGTATCAAATCGGACACTCCTCAGGAAAATAGCGGAAAAATGGAGCGGGAAAGCCGGAGTCCCTCGAGACAAACGACGGTTTTTTGAGCAAAGGGTGTCTTGTTGAAAAGGCGGTACGAAAAATCACCGTAATATTCATAAACATCTCCATCCTTGCCGCCACCGGGAAACCGTTCGTAGAAAAAGTAGCGATCATCAGAAAAAGATTCCGGAACGCCGGCGAGTTGGGTGCAGCCCCGATTGTCGCCGGTAAATGATCGGACGCTGACCGGGCAGCGCTAAACGAAAAAAAAAAACGTTTGGCTGGTGGATCTCAGCTGCTCTTTATTCGGTTATTTAACTTTAATTTAAACTTAGCTTAGAAACGCGCTTACCACATATTTTTCGCCACTGCCAAGATGGAAACTCGAAAGGAGCAGCAGAAACGTCTGGACGAGACGAGGCTTCATCCGACCGGACGGTCTTCAGACACTGGAAGCTCTGAGGGATCTACTCGAGAATCCTACTATATATAAAAAAATAGTGTCTGTGTGTGTGCATTTACATCCAACTTCCGTCCGGCTGTTCCACACGTATCGGTTCAGGGGAAGGTTTTTAAGGTATGGGAGTTATGTCATTAGGTGAGAAATCGGCTTGGCATGGCTGCCGACCTACCAGATTACACAAAAATGCCATTTTCGATATTAAATTGTAGATTTTCGCTAAAATTCGGTCGCATCACTTTGTTAAGCAAAAATTTGCATTCGCCGGAAGTGGTTGACGCCTATATAAACCAGCAAAGAAGATCGTTTTTATTTTATTTGACCAGAACTATCCAAAGTGGAGACCGTTCGGGGATCGGGACGGGGCCAGGGTTGAAAAGCCGCGAAGCGGTTTTTCAACTCTGGTGATTGATGAATTCCATGCAATCAAATCACTGATGCTCAATTCCAGATTTAATGACGCTGGAATTACTTTGAATACACGACTTCCGGCGCATATCAGCTATCTTTGGTTTCCTTGAGCGCGAGCTTGAGCCTAATTTCCTTCTCGTGAGCTCCAACGGCTCGATGAAGCTCCTTCCCCACGAGTCGCACTCCATGCTAATTCTTTTCGCCTCAATTTTTGCTACAAGCTTTGGTGTCGAGAAGGTGAGAAGATCTTGACAAACCCGTTTTTTGGCTACGGTCTACTTTACCCCCCAGCCGGAAGTTTTTGGCTATAACTTTTTTATTTTACATTATTGTAGGCTCAAATTAAAACTCTTAGTATATTTTTCGACGCTCTATCGAATGGCGTTGCGAAAATCCCGACAAAATAAGCGAAAATACGGACAACTTTGAGACCCTTCGTCTGTGGGGGGGGTAAAGTAAACTCTTACCCGTTTTTTGAAGCTTCGGAACAATATACGGCACATACCCCACAACCTAGCCCATCCTCACCTACTGTATCTCGGCTCCCTGTTCATCTACAGGCGTGTAAAGTATACCAAAAGACTCGCCAGATCAAGACGAACATTTTGGTATACTTTAAGCCCCTGTAGACGAACCGGTAGCCGAGATAAAAAGACCAGGGCTGAACTCCAGATGCCCCCGCCAGCCGATCCCTGCCTATTGTATCTCGGCTTCCCTATATCCTACAGGGTTGTTAAGTATACCAAAATACTCCTCAAACCAAGACGAACATTTTGGTTTACGTCACACACCAGTAGACGAACAGCGAGCCGAGTAGAGTGGCGCTTATTCAAATCAAATCGGCTTCAAATTGATTTGATTTGAATTAGCAGATTTGAGTGCGAAAAAATCAACTTCAAATCAAATCGATTTGATTTGAATTAGGGGCTGGCCAACTCAAATCAAATCGATTTGATTTGGGATTTGAACAACAGGCTTATCAAGGATGCAAATTGAAAATCGGCGGTTCGGAGGGCTTTTGGTAGCGCCGTTTCTGCACATTTAGGTGTCCTTTACGATAATTCATGGGGAGTTATGATGACATTTATATAAAATTGAGCCAGACGTTTTTTTTGTCAGGTTTAGCCTGCGCTATGGTTTTTCTTTGGAAAAGTTAACGGGTAAAAACAATAGGAAATGTATAAGGAATCGTTAACTGGGACCCTGGAACAATGCTAAGAGATTATAGGGAAAGAGCGGTGCACGAATTACGAGTTGCGCTGGGTTCATTTCTATGAAGTCTTATTCAAATTATTCAAATCGGCTGGATTTGATTTGAACTGGCGGAACTCAAATCAAATCGATTTGATTTGATTTGAGCGGCTCCAATTCAAATCAAATCGGCTTGATTTGAATAATTTGAATCTTATTCAAATCTGATTTGAATAAGCGCCACTCTAGAGCCGAGATACAAAACCGCAGAACAAGCTGCAGTCGCACGGATTTTGACGGTGTTGCTTTCAGTTTGTGCGATGCCCGGTGAACGGTCAGTTTGACTGGCCTAACGATGCAGCTTGCACCACACTCCCCAACGAACCGGACACCGATTCGCGGGCGTACTTCTTCTACGAAGACATTGGGGAGACACGGGTCTATTATGGTTCGTGCTCGAGAAGACTTTTTCGGTTCTGGACTGTTAACGGGGGTTAAGCGGGGAAAAAAACTTTTTGTTTTTGACCTGCTGATAATATATTATGTATTTTTATAGCGTTTTAGTAGTTTTTGTAATTCTAGAAACTCGAAAATTTGAGCTTTTTGGTTATTTTTCAAACATTTTTTACCAAAAAAATCAAACATTTTCGAAACTTTTTGTATTTAAATTTTTTGTATCTAGAAACTATGTAAGGCTATAAAAATCGTTTATATTTTATTATCGAGCCGTGGAGAAATGCAGGGAAAATTTTGGCTCCCCGGCTAACCCCTTGCCCCCGCTAACGGTCCAGAACCGAGCTAGCTATGCTGGAAAAACGTTCGGATTTAGGCTGCGATGATGGGCAGACGTTTTGTGCAGCTCGTTGGGAATATAAGGATCAAGACTTCCTGCCCGGATGTTATGCGAGCACGGCGGGGCCGGCGTTAGCTAATTGTCAATGCGGTAAAGTCATTGATCTGATTGCTACAGGGTGTCCCAAAAAACGACCCATCTGGCATTTCGCCGTGTTACATCCAATCGGTCCCAAATTTGGACCAGAGGTGTATCAGACCCTAAATAACAACAATCCCGACTTATAGCCTTGTAGCTTTCGTGGTTCTCGAGTTATAACGAAAAATACTGTTTTTCCCGGAATTCTGAACATTTTTTTTCGGCTATCATGTTGGACTTTGCATCGATTTGCATCGACTTCCGGCTGTGAAGCCCTAATTTCGCTTAAGAACTTGGGTAATTTTGCGTTGTAAAAATCGCTTAAATAAGTTTATTTAATCAATTTGACTCTGGAAAAAATTTCATCGGGTAAGAAGGCCTACCGGATCATTTTCGCTTAATGTTTAGGGGCCTAATTCCACGAAAACCCTATGAAAAATGGAAAATAAAGTTTGTTTTCGTTATAACTCGAGAACTACTATAGCTACAGGGCTATAAGTCAGGATTGTTGTTATTTAGGGTCCGATACACCGCTGGTCCAAATTTTAAGGCCGATTGGATGTAACACGGCGAAATGCCAGATGGGTCGTTTTTTGGGACACCCTGTATAAAGTTAGAAAAACGCGCCCAGACAATTTTGAGATTTTTCGAATAAAAACATTTTTATGTTTTTTTTTTGGTAATTCTGCGATATTTACAGTAGTCAAATCTCAAAAAAAAAACTAGAAAAATGTGAAAATCATGCTATGATCGCCCTCCAACTTTCATTTTTCAGATCTCAAGGGAAAGTCACTTCCCGCCATGGAGGGTAGCAAAAGCTCAATACTAGTACAACGGAACTTTCAGCGCACCCTGACCTGCTCGACAAGTTCGTTAAGTATGCGGCTGGTAAGGTGAGTACGTTTACACAAGCGGAAGTGCATCGCATTCCAGGAACGATGCGGGGTTGCCGTTGGATGGGCGAACGTCAACCACCACATGCCGAAGGTGAGGCCGGAATTTTGCTACAAATCCAGAAATGCCTATTTACGGAATTTCGTGTAAAAGTAATGGTCTTTTTAGTAAAATTTCGCTAGTTTCCAAGTGCCAAATAGTCAAAAATACCTAGAAACTTTGGTTTTGGACTGTTAGCGGGGGAACCAAATTTTTCCTTGTTGTTCTCTACGGCCCTAATAAAATATAAACGTTTTTCATAGCATTTTACATAATTTTTATGGATAAAAAACATGTCAAAAAATTATAAAAATTCGAATTTTTGATCTTTTGGGAGAAAATGAATAAAAAAAAATAACAAAAACTCGTCAAAATTTTCGAATTTTCAAAATTAAAAAATATTTTTTATAACTTTCTGGCACCTAAGCGCATTTGGCTTGAATTTCGAGACAGAACCCGTTTTCAGACAGTGCTGTGCGACGTGGCGGGACCGCCTTATACGCAGGAAAAGGGATGTTGGACGCTTCCCTCAACAAGAAGCTACGAGTCGCTCTCGGTGGCCTTCTACGAGATGTTCACCGAACCCGATGGCAAGCAGATCAGGGTCTTTTACAGTACGTGAGGAAACGGCGGTCTTTTAATAGTCTTTTTCATAAAAACTAATCATAATTCACGTGGACCACACCAAAAACCAAAAACCACACCAAAAACCAAAAACCGCGCCAAAAACCTTGTCAATTTTGAGAGTAACATCCTTTTATTTTCTTTTTCTTCAAAAAACTCATTTTTTTGAAAGTTTTTACGTTAGGAATAATGAAGACTGTTTGGAAATGACAAGTTTTTTTTGATTGAAATCCTCCCCAAAACCGAACTGCTCGAGCTGCTTCAGGTTGTGCCACACCGGGCTACGCCTTCTGCAAGCATTGGTGGGACTCGGACACCGTCCCGCATGTTTCTAATGCCACTCTCGGCTGCTACAAGGATGTGTGGCGCCGGTGGTTTCGCTGGTTCAAGGAGTGTTTATGTGGTAGGGATCGGGAAAACGTCCAAATCCCGACAGCCAGAAACCCCCGATTTTGAAATCATTTATGGGTAAAACGAACGGGGACTATCACCATTTTGCTGTCCGGATTTTGGCTGACGGGATTTGGCTGGAATTCGTAAGGATAACATCAACTATAATAATTTTCTTGACGCGTCCGTCCGTCCGAAGCCGAATTCAACTCGAAGGGGGAAGGAGCTAGAGCTTAGCTCTCTTCGGATTCGGATAGAGCGTGGTCAGAAACCCCCAAACTGATAAAAAAATTATGAAAAACTTTTAGTTTAAATTATTAAAATTAGCTTTGAAAGTTTTTCCTTAGTAAAAGGAGTAGGAGACACAGTCGCCAGGTTTACGTGTTTATATATGTGTTTCTTATTTTTCTGTATTAAAAATGGTCTACACCCAACTAATTCTGACGATAAACAAATTGCGTGTTTTATTTATCGATTTGCCCACTAAAAAAACAGGGTTTTGGTCGATCAATGAGAGCCGAAATCGGTTCTTTTGCAATATAGGGGAGGGGTTTTCTTTCGCACCTAATTTTTCAAATATAAATAGCGGAAATGTATCTAAATGGTTTTCACTGTCCCTAAAGATGAAACCTATACAAATTTTAGTAAAAAAAACGTCAAGAATATAGGTTTTTCGACAAGGATGACCGATTTTCAACCAAAATTTCGAATTTTTGAAAACTTTTTAGATAGTTTTCTAGTTGAAACATAGTTATTTTTTTCTACAAAACTATTGAAACACTTTTTATTAAGTTAATGTCGGCTATTGAGTTACTAGTTACCAAGCGTTTCTAGATTTAGGTTCGAGACTTGAGAAATTGGCGGCTCTAGCCCTTTCACGATACCATTGCCTAGAAAACACTCCCCGCTCCGATGGACCGTACAATGGCAAGTTGACGGCTGAGGACAAGCGTGAGTACCATTTTCATAGCGTATCTAGCGCGTCTGGTTCCTTGATGTGTGCTGGATAAAAACGCTTACCGCGCAATTCCAGTCAGCACCGCTCTGATGGCCTCGTTTCCGGGTATAATGGAGCCAGACGGAGGAGTCGGAAAATCCGGTCGATTGTGTGGGGCCTATCAGCAGTTTACCAGGGTGGCTGGACTCGAATTTTCGCAAATTTGAAAAATAGGTCGCGACGACCACGACAACGACGACTCCGGAGACCACGACAACTCCAAAGCCAACGACGACTTCAAAGTCAACGACCAAAGCTACGAAAGCTACTACAAAGGCCACAAGAACCCCTAAAACTTCCTCTACCACCGCAAGCGCCACTGCTTCTACCACCCCTCTCACTACCACTACGGCTACTACTACTACTCCGGCTTCAAGCAAGGTACCAGAACTGGATTTACCAAAAATCCACACATCCGGCATTTGGCCGTCTTCTATTCAAATGGGACCAAATTTTTACCTGCGATGGGGCACCATAAAAACTATATGTAGCCCAATTTGCTAAGCCAAATATTGTAAAACAAAAATGTTATCGCGGAATTAAGGACTGTTTTGTTAATTCACCCGGGTTCACTCGGATTTCAATCTCAAAATGTCTCGCAAAAATGAAGAGGGCTTTTTCCATCCAGAAAAATTGTTTGATTTACGAAATGACGTCTAACTGGGACTTTTCACCACTTTTTCTTATAAAAATTGGTGGAATCCGAGCGGAGAATGATCTTTTTCGACAAATTACGCAAAATCGGCATGAGAATTGCAAAAACAGCGTTAAAAACGAGTACCAACTTTTCCAAATAATCGTTTTTAACGATATTTTGCCTAGAAAATTCGGGTGCTCATAGTTTTTATGGGCCTCCGTCGCTGGTAAAAATTCGGTAGCGATCGGATAGAGGACGACCATATGTAGAGGGTTTTTGGGACACCTTGTACTTCATCATCAGATTCCGGAGACAACCGCAGAAGTCCGAGCTACTAGCGCCGAGGCTAAAGACGACGCCGAGGACGAGGAGGGACCAACCAAAAAGTATTCTCTCTCTCTCTCTCTCTCTCTCTCTCTCTCTTTCTCTCTGTCTCTCTCTGTCTCTCTCTCGATCTCGCGCTCTCTCTCTCTCTCTCTCTCTCGTTCTCTCTCTCGTTCTCTCTCTCTCTTTCTCTCGCTCGTTCTCTCTCTCTCGTTTTCTCTCGTTCTCTCTCTCTCTCGTTCTCTCTCTCCTTCGCCCTCGCTCTCTCTCCCTCTCTCTCTCGCGCTCTCTCTCTCTTTCTCTCTGTCCAATAACTTTCTTTTCCAGCGACCTATTCCTGGTGCTTCTGGTGGGCCACGCGTGTCTGGGCGGCCTCTTGGTGCTCGTAGCCGCCGCTGCCGCCCGTCTCTACCAAATGAACAGACCGGCCGCTCCTCATCGCCAATCCGTCGCGCGCCGAGACTCCTCCACCTCCAACGTATCGGCCAGTCGCTCCCGGAGCTCGGCGGTGAGTCTTTAAAAATCAGGTTTCGTGGAAGTGAGGGGGAAATCAAGGGTCGGTGAGCCGCAATGGGATTTTCGGCGTACTTCTGGTATACCTGCTGGTTTTCCAGAGCAACTCGGAGGAGCGGAAACGCCCGGTCGCGCGCAGCCTGAAGCGCCCGCGTCAGCACTAGCCCCCGATGCCCACTACCCTCCCAAAAACTACGAATTCATTACACGACCCGTAATTTGTATACTGGTTTCACATTTGGCTGATGCTCGCGTGTGGTGGTATAAATATACAGGGTGAAAGGACCCCCAACTCTGTATCTTGGCTCCCCTTTATCGTAGAGGGGTGTAAAGTATACCAAAACGTTCGTCCTGGTCTGAGGAGTATTTTGGCATACTTTACAGCTCGCCAGGATCATGGGTGGTCGAGACACAATAAGCGAGGGTCGGCTGTGAGTAATCTGGAGTTCAGCCTCTAACAGTTAATCTCAGCTCTCCGTTTGTCTACAGGTGTGTAAAGTATACCAGAATGTGCGTCTTGACCTGGCTACATATATACGGTATATGGGTGCCGGCTGGGGGGAGCATCAGGACTTCAGGCAGTGTATCAAGTCGTGGGCGTATTATATCCGAATGGCAAACTATTTATAGCGTAGAAAACCCCAAGAAAAGGCGCATACGGTAGCGTGTTACTTTTTCTGAGATCAAGTAATTTTTGTCGAAATTAAAGGGCTGCCGACGGCATGTGTCGATCCCCCCTCATCAACAAATTGGCTAGTAGCCAACAGGGGAGAGAGCGCGCCCTGGGGAGAGGCGCAGAGACATTTTCTTTTGCGCGCGTAACCGATTGACTATGCCGTCGGCATCCCTTTAATGTTGACTGAAGTCCAGGGCTTTCCTGCCATTTGCATCAACAATTTTCCTAAATGCATCTTCGTGAATTTACTCGACATTTAACCCCAGCTTCATCCCGTCATCCGGCCCGATGAAGCGTCACCTGATTGCCTTCACTTTGCTGCTCTTCGTTTCCGGTGTTGATCTCTTAAGTTCAGAGGGTGGAGGCGGATTGGTAAGCTACGTAGCTTGGTGCTGGTGCGTTAGCGGGGGGGGGAAGGGAAATTCTGTTGGTAAGAGTGCCGTTCCCCCCCAGCCGGCACCCAACTTTTGTATCTCGGCTCCCTGTTCATCTACAGATGTGTAAAGTATACCAAAATGTTCGTCTTGCTCGGGCGCGTATTTTGGTATACTTTACACACCTGTAGGCTAACGGGGAGCCGAGATACGGTAGGCGCTTGCCAGCTGGGGCGGGGGGGGGGGGTAAACTGCACTTAAGCCATTCTTTCAGATACCTAATGTCGCGCTCCGCTCTCTAACCCACCGGAATTCGGCGGGCATCGAACGTAAACTCCGCCAGGAGCCCGCGTCTGGTCGGAATGAGTAGCGGGTCGTAGTTGAGTTCAACAACTTGCTGTTACAGGATCGGTGTAACGGATGTCCCTGCCTCGGAGGAGGAGTATTCTTTCGGGTAAGCCAGACCTCGCGATTGTTTGCTATTCTCGATTTTCAGCCTGGCAATGATGGTGCTGTACATCCACAGCGCCATCGTCGGCGGTTTCTTGTTGATGATGTGCGCGGCGGTGTTCATCTTCCGATGTGACCGGGGCAATCCTGGTGATAGTGCCCCCGGTGATATGCCAACCGAAGGCAGTGGTGGCGGCGCGGGCTCGGGCGAGGTTGGAATTTTGAATTGCGCTTTCGAGTCCAGTTTTTAAAAAATTCCAGAACATCGATTTTTTTCCGCCAAAAATTGCTGATTTTCGAAATTCAAGCAATCTTTTCGGAATTTTTCGAAACTTAAAATTTTTATATAAATCGCGGATGAATTCTTTTGCGGTTTTTAACTATTTCTGAGCATAAAAACTTTATCAATTTTAACAGAAAAAATTAATTTTAGGCCTAAAAATTGGTTTTTCGACGGAATCGGACTAATGTCGATTTTTCAAATTGTTTAATTTTTATGATTTTTTTTGTTTGTAATATGATTAAAACGGATTTGCGATCAGTTTGTCGAAAATGAATTTGTCGAAATTTAATTTTTTCGAAATTTCATTTTGTGAAAAAGGCATTGAAATTCCGAAAAACGGTTTTTCGACAGAATGCAAATAAGTCTTTAAAACCAACGACATAAAAAAAACTAGATTTGATCCCAGGAGTCCTGGAGCGAAAAATTTCTCGAATTGCAAAAAATCCGTAAAACAGTTTTTTTTGGAAATATTTGAACTTTTAGAAGAAGCCGAGCAACGACGACGAGAATTCGGCGGCCTCGACAGCGGTCTCGTCATCCTCTCCCGCCTAAATGGCTACCGTACACCACCATCAATCGATACCCTATCTACTCGACCCCCTAGCCACGCCCCCTTCTTTTCTATTGTCGATATTGATTTGTGATCAATCCTCCCAGCTAGCCCGTATGACGAGACTATTTCTTCTCTCTCTGCCTCTCTCTCTCTCTCTCTCTCTCTCTCTCTCTCTCTCGTAACTGTGTATTTATTCGTTTTTATGGCTGATCGTGTAGATAAATCGTTTCAGAGAGATTTTACAGTGTTTTTGCCAAATTTCAGTGATATATTAATGATCGAGAAAAACCGCAGACCAATTGCTTTTTAACCGCAACATCGAATTTTCAAGATTTTCGGCATTAGCAATGGATCGCCATTTTTCTAACGACCTGATTTTTCTGATATGAATACAGGAAGTGCTTATAATTCAATTTTGTTGCTCCCAAACGTCAAAAAGATAGCGTTCACACATAATCCGAAAATATTGTTTTTTTTTCAATCGAAAATGGCAAATTTTCCACCAAAATTTCAATTTTTCTAATTTTTGATGATTTTTCCACCAATTAAATTTTGCTAAACTAAACTATTCATTTAATTACTATCAAGTCACGTAGTATGCAATTTAATAATTATCGAGAAAAAGCACAGTTCGACTTTTTGCTTTTTGCTAAAAGCCTTGTTTTTTCGAGCAGATTCAGAAAGTCACGAACATTTTGACAAATGTAATCGGCTTTAAAGCTTTTCTTAAGTATGTTGTCCATCCTACTATATATAAAAAAATAGTGTCTGTGTGTGTGTCCGTGCCACTTTGCATGCAACTTCCGTCATTCTGTCCGGTGGATATCTCGGAAAGGGAAGGTTTTTAAGGTATGTTTGATACGGGATTAGATACGTAATGGTCTGGAGATGACTGCACCAATATCAGTTTTTACAAATTCAGCTGTTTTCGACATTAAATTTAAGTTTTTGTTGAAAAATCGGGTAGCCTTCTTTGTTAGGAAATAATTAGCATATGCCGGAAGTGGCGGCGGCCCATATATAACCCGAGAGAGTGGAATTTTTCATTTTTCTCATCGGAAATCGAAAGACGTATGCAGAGTGAAGAATCTGATGGGGTAGGACGGGGCCAGGGTTGAAAAGTCGCGAAGCGGCTTTTCAACCCTGGTTATTTTCTATTTTTTACTTTGAAAATCGTGAAAACATAGATCTCTCTTCCGTATCCCAAAAGCATCAAATTTCACTGCATGTAGGTCCCATCTTGACAAAGGCTTTATCGAATCGACATGAAGCGGATAGAAGGTATTTTTCGACAGCCAAAAAAGAGGGAATATCACACAGAGAAAAGACGAGTCTGTCGATTGGAGGGTGAGAGAGTATGGAGACGATGGAGAGAGGAGAGAAACAGAGTGAGCATCACCAGAATGGGGTTTAGGCTTTTTCGGATTTGTGGGATGGCGCCGGGTCTTCGTGCTGAAGGATGGACATGTTCTGAAATGAGAAATTTTCGAAAAATGTCGAAAAATGGTGGAAAACCAAGTGTCGCTGTCCCTTTAGACATCGGTAACAGCTAGCTGTCACCATCCCTTTAAACGCCCTGTCATACCGTAGGCTCGGGATCATCAGGAGAGATGCGTTTCTTGCTGTTCTTCTTCGCCTTCTTTCCTTCTACAGCATCACAAGCAATACTGGCACAGAGATACAGTAAGATTAATCCCATCAGGATGCCCAGGATGATCAGCATCGTGTGTTTGAATCTGGAAAAATGGAAGGAGCATGAGCGAGAGAGAGAGAGAGAGAGAGAGCAAGAGAGAGAGGGAGAGACAGAGAGAGAGAGAGAGAGAGAGAGAGAGAGAGAGAGAGAGGAGAGAGAGATAACTCACACAGTAGCCCCGGGCAGTTCAGGATTTGGCACAAGCGTAGGCGGTGTAGTGAATCGTGTCGTCTTGTTTCCGTCTCCATCTCTCGTCGATGTACTCGTTGCAGTCGTCGTATTGTCAGTAGATGACGTTGGGGCGGTGCTCACCGTCGTGTTCACTGCCACTGGTGTGGTAGTCGAAGCTAAAAGTAAGCTATTATTTCCTCAGACGCATTGGGCGTGGCGTCCCCCCCCCCGCTAATGATCTATAACCCAGTATGCAACCTGTTGTCGTGGTCGTGGTGTTGGTGGTGGTGACGGTGGTGGTGGTCGTCGTAGCGTTGGTGGTAGTGGTCGTAGGCGTAGTCGTGGTCGTGGTTGTTGTTTTTAGCTAAAGGCAGGAATGCAAAGGGCAAATGCATCTATCTACATTTCTCTCCACTTCTCCCTCTCTCGCTCTCTCTCGCTCTCTCTCTCTCTCTCTCTCTCTCTCTCTCTCTCTCTCACCCTCATAACCCTGTTGACTCCGCATCGTGCCCGTCCGTCCCATGGTTCGCCCGGGAACTCGGTTTCGATGACTTTGACCACCGATCTGGCTTGAAAGCAGCCGCCGAAGTCTTGGTCGTAAGTATCTCCGTATATCGGTACTAAAATAATGGTTAACAAGGAAATTTTCCCCAGTAATTCCTTACGGTCTTATAACGAAATATTAACAGTATTTAGGCATTTTAAATCGTTTTTGGATATAAACACCTCATAAAAAAATTTCGAATATGACTTTTTGTTGATAACTAGTTTTTTGAAGCGCAAGATTTTAAGAGGAGTAATAAGAGTTTTAATTCTAGATGGAAACACTATAATCTAAGAAAGTTAGTTCAGTAACAAAAATAACGAAATGGGGTTGGTAAGCTGTCGATATTTTTCGACATTCTATTAACGCTTTTCGATAGAACATCAAAAAAATATACTGAAACTTTTTACAGCTCAAAAATACGAATTGAAGCTAAGCTATTGGCAAGCGATGTCCCCCCCCCGCTAACGAACCAGAACCGCAAAAACGACTAAACCCATGACTCGCTCTTTAACAAAGCCGTAAAAAACGCAACGGTAGATACAATCAGCTGCGTTGGGATTCCTGAACACTTCCCAGTAATAGCAAGCGCTCGAGTGCCAGTGGTCGTCTTTGGGCGGCTCATAGAACAGTTCGTGCACAGGCTCACAACCTGTAAACAGCATACTGAAGGGGGGTAAAGCTCAGCCCAGCTCCTCAGCCAAGGGGGTTATGAAAGCGCTAAGTCCCTCGAAATGTTCGCCGTGGTCGAAAACCTCGTAAAACCTTGTTTTCGTACATAAATAATTTCTAGAGAATTTTTTACAAGAAGTTAAAAGTTGAAAAGATTAAGCCGCAATGGTGCTGTGTACCGGGCCGAGATCCGAAAACGCACCTTGGACCAACAAAATTCGGCTAAATTCTAGTTTACCCCCCCCCCAGCCGTAACTTTTCAGCCATGCGTCCTATTAATGCGCCGAGTATCTCAAAAGGTTCGCCGTAGTCGAATTACCATAGCCATGTTGTTTTCTTACATCAAAAATTGTTAGAACAATTTTTATAACAATTATAAGTCTGGGGTTTCTTTCGTTAATTTTTGCTGTTCCAAAGTGAGTTTTCGTATCTCGGCTATCTTTTGACGTACAGAGCTGTCAATAGTACCAAAATGTAGCTCTTGCTCTGTAGAATAATCCGACAGTACGCTTGAGTCGAAAAAATAGCAGAAAACAAAAATATTTGAGTTTTTGACTTCTGGTACATCGAAGCATAGCGGCTTATCTTTTCAACTTTCAAAATCTTGTAAAAAAATTTCTAACAATTTTTGCCGTAAGGAAACAATTTTTGTAGAGGTTTTCGGCCAAGGCGCACATTTTGAGATACTCGGCGCATTAATAGGACGCATGGCTGAAAAGTTACGCCTGGGGGGGGGGGGTAAACTAGACACCCAAAATTCAACTAATGAAAACTTATCAGCGTTATAAAAAAATGTTTTAGCAAATTTTGAAAAAGAAACCAAATTTGGGATGCATTTTAAACCGGGGCGCACATTTTGAGATACTCGACGCATTAATAGGACGTATGGCCGAAAAGTTGCCGCAGGGATGGGGGTTTCCTAGACATTAGCCAAAAACTTGCCTCAAACTCACCATAGTATATGGTCTGATTGTCAGTGGTGGCAACGTAGGCGACGGCCCTCTTCCAGTCGTTATTCGATGTGTCGACGATCTGGGCGAGTGGCAGACATTTGTCGAGTGGAGTGCCCGGCTCCTTACCGCACCATAGCTTGGCTGAAAAGAAAAGCGCGTATGAAATGGACAACGTGAAATTACAGGGTATCCCATTCCAAAAATTCCATTCCAATTTCAAAATTTGACTTTTTACAAGTTTTTATTGAAACATACAAAAAATATCGTTTTGGCTGAACTCCAGAAACCCCCCACCCCCAGCCGGCCCCGCCTACCGTATCTCGGCTCCCTGTTCATCTACATGTGTGTGAAGTATACCAAAATACTCGCCAGAGCAAGGCGAACATTTTGATATACTTTACACATCTGTAGATGAACAGAGAGCCGATATACAAAAGTTGGGGACCGGCGAGGGAGGGGTAAATCGCACACTAACCGGTGTTTTTTTATTGCGGCACCCTGTGCGGTGTGGTTGCGACAAGTCCTACTAATGCTCGAAACTCTATGGCCAAGTGCGCTCTAGAACGTTTTAATTCGAGTGATCCTACCGTAGTCTTCAGGCTTTGGGTTGGGAGCTCCTTTCCGCGGCCGCAAAGGGTAACCCCAGGCACCTTCGAGACAGCGATCCCGCCAACCCTGCCCGTCGACGCGAGCGAGTAGGACGGAGACGAACAGAAGAGCCAACGCGATACGGGACCCCATCGTCCAGACAGAGATGGTTTGGGAACACACAGAGCCACGAAGAAGGAGAAGGAGCAGAACCCGGTAGTCTCACCGGATGCAAATTATCTGCATGCAAAATTCGCAGATTTGCAGATTGCGCATTTTTAGAACTTAACGGATTACCGAAATTCGAAGAGTGGTCAGAAAAGAGAGATAGACAGAGAGAGGTAGAGGGAGAGAGCGAGAGCGAGATGGAGAGAGAGAGAGAGAAAGAGAGAGAGAGAGAGCTGAGTGAGAGAGAGACACATACCGCAAAACCTCGTAGTAAATTTTCTGCTGCTTGGTTTTATTCACACCACACCCAAAGAAAAACAAAGGAGAACGAGTAAGACAAGGAGGGGCAGAAAATAGGAGCAATTGGTGGGGGAATTCGTAGACTACAAAGCACGCGGCCGGGGCTGAAGACTACAGATTACATAGTACAGACGACAAATTCCTAGATCAAGCGCTTCACACTTCGTTGGTGGCTTCGGTGGCTTCGCTGACCTGCGACTTTTCGGGGGGCGCCTCTTCGGTTGACGTCGCCTCGTCCTGAGGAGTGAAATGGAATTAGGGGGAGTGTTAGAGTCGCTCTCTTTCTCTCTCTCTCTCTCTCTCTCTCTCTCTCGCTTTCGCTAACACACCTCTCTATCTCTCGCTCTCTTACTCCCTTCTGAATTTCCTAACGGATCTCTGCTGGGTACTAAAAGACCAAAAATGGCATTATCGGGGGGGGGGGGGGCATGCGAAAACGATGGTTTGTATTTTTTGCAGTATGAGATTTTTTATAGCCATTTAAAGCACGAAATCCTACCTCCTTCTTGCCCTTCTTCTTGTTCTTCTTCGCGTTCAGCACGACGGCCGTCGTCACGGCGGCGGCGAGCAACAACAGTGCGGCTGCCCCGCCCAGCGCGTACGGCAGCCAATCGGGCATCCTGAAAAAATTGGAGACTGAAGTCACTCTTTCTCTCTGTCTCTCTCTCTCTTTCTCTGTCTCTCTCGCTCTCTAGCTCGCCCTCACCCTTGCGAAGGAGGAGGAGCAGTAGTAGTCGTAGTAGTAGTGGTAGTAGTCGGGATGTGTCGCGTAAAAATCTTCCGCCAGCCGCACTTTTTGTCAATCTTCTTCCGGGCCGCCGGGTTCGTGATGTCCACCTGTAAAAATTAGGTACTTGTGTATTAACGGGGGGGGGGGGAATTCATTCATTAGAGTTGCTAACAAGTTACTGACCTCTTTAGCGATGTACTTCTCGTACTCGGCGAACACCTCCTTGTGCGTGTTGGAGATGAGGTGGATCTGCTTGCCGTCAACTAAAAATCTATCTATCTCTCGCACCCTCTCTCTCTGTGACTCTCTCTCTCCACGTACCCGTCTCGCACCAACAGTTCTCCGTATCATTGACTACAGTAGTCGTGCCGATCGCGTAGCAGCCAGGCACCAATTTCTTCCCAGCCCGATCCTCTGTCTCCTGCGTGTTGACGATCTCGTGGCAGTAGTTCTGCTCCGGAACGCGGCAGCCTAAAAATAAGTATCTTAATGCGAGAGAGAGAGAGAGAGAGAGCGAGAGAGAGCTTGTGAGAGGGAGAGTGAGAGAGACAGAGAGAGACAGGGAGAGAGAGACAGGGAGAGAGAGACAGAGAAACAGATAGAGAGACAGATATAGTGAGAGAGATAGTGAGCGAGAGGCATCTATCCCACCGTAGTAATAAATATCGTCTCCAATCTTCTCTCCAAATATCATCCGGGTATGCCATTCATCTTTGTCGTCTCTCACGAGATCCCTGCAGGGCGAGTTCTTCGGTCCCTGTTCGCGAGTCCACGTATCCACAAGACCGTAATCGACGCCCTGACGGCACAGGTATTCTTTTCCTGAAAAACCAGTTGGTTTAGGCGACCACAAACTCCAAAAAGTTGCGAAACTGCAGAATACAGACCCTGAATCTCGACGACGATGACGACGAAGAAGAAGAGGCACAAGTAGCTGATCAGAAAAAACCCTTGAAAAGCGCTCATCATGGCGAATAGGTTTCGCAAGGGAAGAAAAATGAAGCCTTCACTCATATCGTCGCTGACTTGAGCATTTTCAGGAAGGCATCCAAATTGTGTGATTCAAAATAATATCCGCTTTTCCTGCAATTTTTTTCGGTCAGTTTCATGTGTGAATTTTTCGGCATTCTGATCCTTTTTTCTTTTGATCTATTAAACTTGAACGGCGAGTAATTAATTTACATAAACACCAGATTTGCCCGAGCATTTTACTTGAAAATAATTTGTCGAAATTTATGAATTTTTAGCGGGCAGCACTCGCGTGGACATTAATGGCCGAAAAAATGTTCGATCATCACGTTTTTACGAAACATTTTTTTTATCGATCATTCTTATTTGGCCAAAATTTTGCTGAAACGCTCTAGCATTTCACGACAAGAATGACGGTTTCGCTAAAGTCATAGAATTCGATGCTTTATTCATCTTTTTTTTGTTCACTGAAAAACACCTTTTTTTACGTTTTTTAATCTGGCAGAGAAGGTTCTCGAAGCCAGATGTCACGCCGTTTGAAAACACAGAATTTTCGATTTCTATAGGCTTTTATGTGTGTTTGTAAGGCTATGTGTTTGTAAGCGTTATATCGATTTTCAGACTGGGAAAAAAACATGTCAATACTGTACACAAATTTTTCGGGCATTTGTGCAACGCGATAAAACATTCTTTTTTTCCGAATTATAAGCTGTCCCCAATTTGCGACTTTTTCCTTACTGTATTTTTTATTTAAGAGTATTTAATAATATGTTAGTACGAATTATTAAAGATAAATAAATCAGTGTTTCTAAACTGCTTTTACTATCTCTAGACGTAAAAAATTACAAACCATGTCTAAAAAAATGCCTAAATATCGATTTTATACCAGAATTCTGGATTTTCAATATTTGAAAAAGTTTTTCCATAGTTTTCCTTTTCAAAAATAGTGTTGTTTTACCAAACATTGTCAGTCATTATTAAACCAGTGACTTTTACGTTACTAGGAATTTCTGGAGTCATACAAAAAATCTTCCCCTCCCGATAAGGGAAAAGAACCTAAACCCACGGCTTTTCTCGATGTGTCACTATCCCTTTAAAACCCATCAGTCTTCTGCAAGGGCCTGCAGTGAAAAAACATGAAGCCACAACGGGGATAGTGTTCGCGAGTGGCGGGGATAGTCAGTCCGCTAGGGCCGTTAGGTCAGCTGTTGTGGTGTAGAGAGGGAGGAGCATCTCTATTTATCAATGCTTTCGCTCTCTCTCTCTCTCTCTCTCTCTCTCTCTCTTTCCCCTCTCTCTCTCTCTCTCTCTCTCTCTCTCTCCCTCTCTCTCTCGCTCGCTCTCTCGCTGGCTGTCACTCTCTCTGTCTCTCTGTCTCGCCATCCCCATCCGATTTTACAGCTCCTCTTTCCAGCTCGATCCTCTTGGCCCTTTCGGAGTTGAAAAAAAGGTTAGTGCCTCCGGCTGGGCGTCCACTCTGTAATCCCGTCACTTGCCGGTGACACATCAAACTTGAAGCATCCTTTACAAAACTATAATAACCTAATAATAACTAATCACCTTACCGCTCCTTTGCTTTATTGTTTTCCTCTTCTTTTTAAGCCTGAAAGGTTTATTAAAACGATACGCCGAACTTTGAATTAATCCGACGAGACAAAGCGCCTGGAGGGTTATCCTTTGAGAAACATTCATTTTTCTGGAATTACCCAACCCTTTTTTCCGTTTTTTTTTTGGCTATTTCGCATTATCGGGGGGGGATCGTGTTTTCAGGGAGAAACCAACTTTTTATTTAATGTCTTTGAATGTATTATAATTATGCAGAAGCCGTTTTCTCCACTGTATTTAACTACATATTAAAACCTGATGCTTTTTTTGTAAAAAATGGCGTCTTTCGTTGCTTTCCGGGCGCCAGAATCAGATAAAAAATTAAGTTAAATTAAATCAAGTTAATTAAGTTAATTAAAACACCAGAAAGATATTTTTGTAGATACTTCCAAATATGTCTAAAATGCGCTCATAGATTTTTAAAAACGGAATGTTTTGCTTGTTTTTATGAGCAATTTGCTGGTCAAGCAATAATAAAGCACATTGCAGAATCGATTGCCACCAGAATGGGTGACCGGACACCGACGTTTCAGGTATGAGAATTTTATGTTTAATTTAGGATGAAAATTTCGAATTTCGAATTTAACTAATCGCTCACAATTTAGGTAGTAGTATAGGTTATGATCTGCCAATTAATATTGGGGCAACTCGTTTTGGATAGAAACCACGTTGAAACATCGTGTCACAAAAAATTAGAGCTGTGCGTTTCTTTGTCTTCTTTTTTAAAAATCTATCTTCAAATCTTAAAATCAAAGAATCAAAGTTTGTTAGGTTTTGTAAGAAACTTGCTATCTCGCCAATTCCCGTTCTAAAACCGAATTCAACGGTTTTTAAAAAAATCGCTTTTTGGTGTGGGGTGGGAAAATCGATCGACAGTAAAAAGTAAACAGTAAACAGTAAAATAAGGAACCTTACTAGTACTGAATTTTTTTGAGATCCTCCTGAGATCTTTTTGAGTTCATCCTGAGATTTGAGATCATCATCACTATCCAACGACATATTGTTCGAGAAAATTTCCCGTCAACCCGGCAAAGCGACGAAACATGTGTTTTCGATTATCGGTTCCCCGTCAGGGCTTTTCCCCTACCCAAGCTCACAGCTTCAGTTTATCGATTTACATTTGTACTCCAATAAAACATATTATCGACAGATTTCCAGGTTGTGCGTAAAGAAAAATGTAGAATTTAATTTTACAAAAAAATGTTACATTCGGAATTTCACCGAGATGCTTTTTGAAGGCTATTATGAATATGTACTTTTAAAATTAAAAATTCACAACACTTTTCGTGCCTATTAATTTAAAAAAATTACGTCCGTAATAGTACCGTGATCCTGAATCATTCGTTTTCGAATCTCCAAGGTAAAAAATAAACGTTCTCAAAAATGAGAAATTCTATGTTTTCTGGGTGCCTCCTTTGGGTCCTTGACCCGGGAGGTATCGGGTCAATATTTGGGCCCTTATTTGGGCCGCAAACAAACCGGTATCTTTGCCTATTAGCAACCAGCCGCAACGGGTGGCCTGGGAAATGAGAATATTCGCGGTTAGGGGCTAGTAATTCGTTACATCTGTCCCTATCTATTGACACCTACTAACTCGTCAATGATATTTTAGCAACGAAGTCGATGCACCGAAATATTCGGAAGCCGTTTTTCTTAGTTGATTTTGGAAACATTTTTCCACGCAAAATATTCCTCTTTTTTACATTCGAAAAACTAGCGAAAGTGGGCAGTCAATGGGCGGTTGATTGGCTATTTTCAGGGGTCCCGAAGCGCTGCCCCTCGGCCCAAGAAAGGGCCACTTTTTATCTTCTCTTTTGGCCCTTCGAAGGACTCGCGATTCTTTCCTTTTCTCAATTCTGAATCCCCCAAATCCAATCCCTCTAAAAGCGTTCCGCTTTTAAAACGGGTATTTATTCATTTTCGAAAGCAATACCTGGGATGGAAACGCCAGCTAAATTAAAACGTTCTTCCCGTACATATCATTTTTAAAAGTTGAAACATTCTTTTTCTGCCCAAATTATTGGAAGACGTTTTTTTTTGCTCAAAACCTTTTTAATTAGTACGTATTTATACATTTTCCCAAAGTATACGGTTCTAAAAATTCTATTCATTGTTTTTTTTCTGAAAAGACGTTACGCAATGAGCATCAGTGGCATAACGACTGTGAAATTAAAGAATTCCACTATCGCAAGTGATTCTCGTAAGTTGAAGCATTCTTTTTCTGCCAAAAATTACTGGGGGAAGTCGTTTTCCTTTGACCACTCGCTAATAGGTTTTTTACTGCGCTTCAATCAATAAAAATTGTTAGGCGGTGTAACAATTTTTGATGAATGAATTGACTCCATTCGTTGTGCATTTCCGCTATTTTGAGACTCTGAAAATTCGAAACACTCATTTCCCTCAAAAAATGAAAACTTTGTCCGTGGCAAGCCCATAGTTTTCTGAGATTTTAAATGTTGTGGTCCGTCGAATTTACCGATTTTCGAAAAGAATATCTGTGGGCTGATCGGATCAATTACGAAATCCCCCAGCGCTAGTAATTTTTAAGAGCGAAAACATCCGTTTTAAACCAAGGTGAAAAAAATATTTTTCTTGATGCCTAAAGCGCTAATAAATTTCCGGCTGAAACTTTTTAATTACATATTTGCTGCGCCTTTTAAAACCTGAATCTGAAAGGGGCTTTTCTACCAGATGCTGCAGAGGTGTTATTAAGCCGTTTTTCCGGAATCCAAGACTCCACAAAAATCAAAACATTGTTTTTCGTCAAAAAATTAATAACACAGGAGGCTTGACATAAGTATGCTTCACATGAACATTTTAAAGTTAATTATTTTCTCAATCCTGCATCTCGCGTTGATAATCCCATCGTATCAACACAATTTTTCCGCATATCACGTCGCTTCAAATTCGCGACATTTTGTTTTCCTCAAGAAAAATTGGTTGATGCCTGATCTGAAATTTCAAGTTTCCGGCTTGATGAGGGTAGTTTTTGGGCTGTGCGTCAGCTAGGTTTCAATACTAATTTAATTTTACCCAGACAACCATTTTTAATGTAACTAATAATTTAATTTAATGAAACCTCGCCCACCCGCCACATGGAATATCCCTGAAATTGACGCTGACGGGCAATTCCGGAAATGGAGGGGGCGTGAAACATTTTTGCCGTGAAAACGTAAGGTGCACGTTGAATTTACCGTTAGGGTGTGTTAGAGTTGGAAATTACCGTAGATTACTCACTGACTTGTCTATGCCATAGTTTGCTAACCGAGGTGTCGAAATTTCCAATCAATACCGATCGAGGTGTCAAAAATACGGTGAATTAATAATTACGCCATTGAAACCACGGTGGAATCCTAATCACGCGATCGAAATTCTAATCGATTACTAATTAAGGCGTCGAAAAGCGATAGAATACTGTCGAACTAACGGTGGAATACTAATTACGGCGGTGGCCGGCACTTCCTACCTTATATAATTTGGTCGCGTATCTTTGTCTGTGTGTCTGTGTGTGTGGATGTCACTTTCAAGGCCCGATTTGAGGGCCTTCCCGTGTCCAAAATGCCCTAATTCTCGGTCACCCGGAGGAATCGACCCTCCTCTTTCCCATGGCGTTCTCAGAATTTCGATAAAATACAAGTTTACAAAGTTAAAGCCGGTTTTATTCATTTTTGGGGTCCCCGATGGCTAATTTGCATAATGTGAAAAAATACAAATTTCCTCATTCTTGCCAGTTGCACTCGCGTGTGTGGCCGGTGGGGGGAAGGGGTCCGAAGGACCCGAGCCATCGGCAAGTCAAATTTTTCATGCAAAGGCCGCATTCCAGCGCCCAAGGCCCGCGAAGCGGGTTTTGGGCGCTGGTTACATATAATTGTGGTAAAACTAAGATACTGCCGGCCTCTCTTTCATGAAACATTCGTTATAATCCGGTGTATTTCTGGGAATTTCGGTTAATTAATTTTTGCATTTACCGTTAGTAAATTTTGCGGTTTTACAATCAGCATAATAAATTTGAAGTATATGAGAAGCAGGAGAGTATATTAAGCCGTTGCGAAATGGTAGATAGCCTTGAAAAATCTCATTAATTTCCAAGAAACGGAAGAAGCAGCCCATTCACTCATGCCAAACATCTTCTTTAGAATTTTGAAATTTTTGAAAAATTTGAATTCTCTTACTTTCTAGTAACGAATCGAACCGTTTTCGGCTACAAATGAAATAAAAAAATATAGCAAATAAAAATTCCTTCCAGCTAGAAGCCCCTGAAATGGAGACAGAAGCGGAAAACGTGTTGGATGCGCTCAGCCATCGTATTGTCGACGAGGTGTTGCCAGCGGCAGAGGTAATCTAAGCCGATATCTTTAATTAAAATTTGTTATTCCTTAAATTATACTTTTACAAAAAAGCCATATCTGTCAGAAATTTTATTGACCGGAGATAATCCGATTAAAGAAACCATTAATTAATTTCTTTATAATCCTAGGTGAAACATCTTGGATTTTGAGGGTTTGAGGGTTCAGATAGGAAACGGATACTTTTAATGAAATTCAATCCTTGATGTTTACGCTTTTAAAATTTTTAGAGGTAAGGTTTTTTAATTCACTGTGTGCCCAAGAGGCTCACTTAAATTTTTAGGTTTCATACAGACTTGTCCTATATTAGATCATACAATCAAGTAATTGTGCTAAGCTTAGCTGGAACATCTTTTTTATTTTTGGCGTTTTTCATAAACGATAATGATGGTTTTAAAGAACTCGATTTCTTTAATTCAACTCGTAACTTCATACAAAGCTACATGATCTATATATTTCGTTAGATGACCAATGAACTCTTTTTAAATCTAGCTGAAACTGATTTATTTGCACTTTATTTGCTTTTATTATTATATTCTATTATTATTTTATTTTTATTTGCTTCATTATTTATCAAATTATTTGCACATTTTCCTTTATCTCAATTTTCTAGGAAGCCCTGCAGCAGCAATTCGAGCGACTCAGCACCCAGAAAAAGGTGAGGCTCCTGGTCTTGTGGGTCATTTTATGTTCTTTCATTCTTTGGGGACTGCGGGAATACTGATATTAATCCGAATTTTGTGGCTTCAATGAGATAGATATAATAACTCCATTCATTAGGATTATTTATTCACTATCTTGAAACATAAATTTTTATTAAAATAAGAATAAAAATTACTTTCTCTCGCTCGGTCTAGCTCTCTCTCTATCTCTCTCGCTGTCTCTCACTCTCTCTCTCTCTCTCTCTCTCTCTCGCTTCCCTATAGTCTCTAACTTCTAACTCGTGCTCCAAAATTAATTCCTTTCCGCTGACAAAACACAAGCCGTATTTTCTGTTGATTGAAACCCGATTAATGCCAGACAGCTCATTTTTGTTTTGTCTGAAATCGGGCTACAAACTGAAAAAACTGCGGCTGCGAGTGGCCAGACGATGAATCACTCTTTTTCCCACGGCAAGCCTCCCCCCCACTATCGTCTACCAATCTCCGCCGCCCTTCGGCATTTCATTCCATCCGGCTGTTCCGGTCACTCAACCGTTCGCTCCTCAAAAATTTTCACTCTCCCTGTCTCTCTCTCTCTCGCTCTCCATCTCTCTTCCGTTTTTCCGATGATTTAATTAGCGACCTAATCCTTGCATTATTTAGCGTACTTTTGAAATAAAAGGCAAACTAGGCTTTTCAAAGCTAAAAAAGGTGTTTTAAAACTACCTAAACCCTATCGTGATCAGCAATAAATAATGCATCATTCCAATGAAGTTTATCAAATTTTATAATGAGCAGTAAACTATGTGTTTCAGATTTAGGCCAACTCAGTGCGCTTTTCAACCGTATTAGTTTCACGCAATATTTCGTGTATTGCAAATTGAATATCGGGGTAAACAACATAGATTTAAAGGAACGCGAAAGGCCTATCCATGGATTTTTCGCATTTGTCGCGTTAAGTGTCGCCATCGTGTGTGCTACAGAAACTCGTATTGGACCCTTAGCGGGGGGGAAGGGAGCGGGGCTTAGCAGGAGGAACTAATTTTTGGGAGTAATCTTACACAGTTTTAGATTCAAAATCATTTATACATCTTCTAGCAATAAAAACTAATAAAAAACTTGAAAAGTACGTTATCTGTTATTCTAGATATAGGCAAAAAACTAGAAATTGGTTTTCACCTAATAAAAATCCCCCTAAGCAGTACCGATCGATCGGAGTAATGCGTGTTTCATAATTATCTAAGGCCGATTGCGGTTGAAATTCGCGAATTCAAGGCTGACTGCAGGAGGGAAAATAACTTTGTCAGCCGGAAGAACTGTCTCCAAAAGCTATCCTTCCTAAATTTTATAAAACATCCTTTTCCTGAAAATTCATGATACGTTTTGAGATGTCGACGAGTCCCGAGAAGAACGCCACCCCGCCCCCCACGCCCGATGTAAGTCGAAGTTTTGCGAGCTTTTGGAGCTGCTTCAATAGCGGTGGGGGAGTGGGCGTTCACCCCGCTAACGAACAAGATCCGATCTTTTTCAATCCTAACCAGCTACATAGGCGAAAATAGTATAAGCAATAAAAGAGTTGTGAGTAATAATAAAATATAGGTAAAACGGCCCGAATAATTTGCTAATGAGCTTGCGAGTTTGATTTAAGCTATTATGATTAGAAGGAAACGAATTGGTATCATAATGTCGAAAATCATAATGTCGAAATTCATAATTTCGAAAATCATAATGTCGAAATTTCATAATGTCGAGATGTCATAATGTCGAAATTTCATAATGTCAAAATTTCATAATGTCGAAATTTCATAACGTCGACATTTCATAATGTCGAAATTTACATAGGCTAATATTACCGGTGAAACCGCCAAATCCCAGCCAAAAAAAATTTTTCCACATTCTATTTTTTTATCTTATTTCACGACAAAATTTTTTTGTCTAGAATTCGGGGACTTTACCGGGAATTTTAGCTTATGTAATTTCGACATCCTGACATTTCGACATTCTGACATTTCGACATTATGAAATTTCGACATTATGAAATTTCGACATTATGAAATTTCGACATTATGAAATTTCGACATTATGAAATTTCGACATTATGAATTTCGACATTATGAGTTTCGACATTATGAATTTCGACATTTTGAAAATAAGCCGAGGGAAACATACTGTCTCAAAAAAATGTGTTCCGTTCCAAGACCTTTTTTATTGGACAACCGCGTTCGCTTAATATCCGATGTTTGCGAGCGCAAGTATAGTGGCCAAATTCAAACACATTTTTTTCGTCTAAAAAATTTATTACCTTAGTACCAACTTTCAGGACTATTCCATCGAGGAGCCATTCGTCAAGCGCTCCCAACAGCCCAGCACCGAGCTAAAAGCCGTCGAACAAAGCGAGCACGAGTCACAGACCCTTGCGGTATGTTAAACAATGTTTTATAGCCACCGGCAGTAGAGAGCTTCAAAAATTATCGTTGTCTATTGTCCTTGTATCACCGTCGATTTTTAAATTTCGTAAGGGGAACTTACTGAAACACTCATTTTCGTCCACATCTTTAAATTCTGATTTTTTCGTTTTACTGTTTGGCCAAATACTAATAATCAATTTCCATTTCCTGTAAATCAAAGTGATCCTAAACAATATGTTTTAAAAATACAAAATAAGCAGGAATTTTTGTAGCTTAAATAATTAACGTATGCTTCTGCATGATTTTGCTTAGCTTCAAGGACCCGCAAATAGATAAAATGTTACAAGAATAAAATCATAATAAAAAAAGGGGAAATAGTGATAAATAGCAAAACCAACTGACATTTTAATTCCGGCCCCGGGAAGTTTTCGTGTTTTAAGTAGAACCCAAGAGAGTCAGCCGGGATGAATAATTCGGTTAAGACACAACACAAGTTTAAAAATTATTTAGGATCCAAAAATAAAACCAATCAAGCTTCTCTGTTGCGAGGGGCGCACCTGCCGGCACGGTAACGCCCACCGGCACGGCTGCTGGCGCTGCTGCACGGTTGCTGGCGAACCAAAACTCGGCACGGGTGCTAGCACAGCTTCTGGCACGGCTGCTGGCACACCTCGGGAGGCGGCAAACAGGCCAGATTTGGCACGGCTGCCGGCGCGGTACTCGGCGCGGCTGCCGGCACAGCTGTACTGCACGCCTGCCGGCAGACCACTGTCGCGGAGCCGCAACGCGCCATAACTTAGAAAAATTCGCATTTGAAAATGCATCGGCTGGCTCAAATTTTTTAAGTTTTCAACCTTGAAACAATAAATATGATAAAACTTCGTCGTTTACAAGGTTAAAACCTCTATATCTTTGACATAAATGTTTATTGCGGGTTTTAGGCGATATTTGTTTAGAAAACCACCCACGAAGGGGCAAGAATCGATGGTAAAAGGTGCGTGTTTGGTGTTTTTGTGATACTTATTTGTTTCTAGGTAACCTTCGCAGCTCGAATACTGCTCCTGGATGATTGAAGACGAGAATTGCGTCTGGAGATGGCTTCTTTGGCTAGGTTTGTGTTTAGTTTCTCCGGTTTTGGCTTCCGCTCTTCGTTTACTTTGCTTCAATGCCAGTGACAAAGCAGCGGGCGCTGAAATCTATCAAAACAGGAGGTCTCATGCAATTCTCTGCTGTAAAACTTTTATTAGCTGCTTTTTCAGACGTGTGGACCCGAAGTGGCGCTTTTCTGACGCTGGAATTAGTTTTTCAATGTTGAGTGATCCACTAGACAAGCTGCAAAGACTGCAAGAAGAAAGTAAGTCGTTTTGAACTGCTTGGGCAATCATTGAATAGAATCTAGTTACTAGGCCAACACTAAAAGATGCTCGACACGTCTATCGTCAACGTTTAATCGTAAGTTCACCAAGGAAAAGAGGGGCTCCGCTTATGAACAATAGAAAACCAAAGAAACCAACTAATTTAGTTACTACTGCGGCTTCCGCTTCAACTACGCGACGGTGACGGCGATATGCTTCAACCACCACTTAAGCGCAATAAAAAAGAATAAGCAATGCGGTTTTTATATGCCGAAAAATTAGCGTAAGGTGTGCCGGCAGCCGTGCCACAGCCATTTTCGGCCCAGTTGCCGGCGCGGCGTGCCGGCAGGCGTGCCACGGCACGGTTGCGCCGCGCGACATTCGGCAGCCGCGCCGATTGTGTGCTGGCAGCCGCGCCATTCGAAACAGAGTTACTATTTTCGAATTTTTCCAAAAATTTGCCTGCTAAATTCAAATTTTCAGGACCGGCTGAGCGATTCCGTGTCCGCGGCCTTCGCCTCGATCGCCGACAGCGGGGTGGGTTTTAAGGAATTTTTAGAAAGATAAAAAAAAGAGGTTTTTCTAAAAAGCCTTATCGCGGACTTGTTATTCTTACTAATTTTTTTGTTCTCTTGCTTGGGCTTATCTCCCCCCCCCACACCGAATTCGTCGAAATCTGAACGCGGCTGTTCCCTAATCTATCTCCGAATTTCTCCGAACTTCGCCCATTCGCGGCGGTCGGGTGATTTCTAAAAATTTGCTGAAAATCTGCTAGGAAAATGCTGTCATTTTTTAAAGTAAGTTATAGACCAAAAGCTTTGATTACCGATTTAAAAATATTTTGTTCAAAAAGACACTTTTCATCCATTCGTCATTTTTTTCCATCTTTAATGGGTGTTTCATAAAAAATTAAAAAAGCGTTGTTGCCGATTTAATTTGCCGTGACAAAAGTTAATAGTGGTCAAAGTTTCGGCTCAAAAAATTCTTGCAAAACTAGGTGCGAAAAAATGCTTTAAGTCCAGGCGAGACTAATGGTTTCTCAATTGTCATAATTGGCAGGTGCTCGGATATCTACAGGGTGTCGCAAAAAAACGAACCATCTTGCATTTCGCCGTGTTACATCCAACCGGCCCCAAATTTGGACCATAGGCGTATCAGACCCTAAATAACAACAATCCTGACTTATAGCCCGGTAGCTACAGTCGTTCTCGAGTTATAGCAAAAACAAACTTTATTTTCTACTTTTCATAGGGTTTGCGTGGAATTAGACCCCCTGAACATTAAGTGAAAATGATCAGGAAGGCCTTCTTTACCTTCAGAATTTTTTTCCAGAGTAAAAGTAATTAAATAAGCTTCGATTTAAGCGATTTTTTCAACGAAAAATTACCCCATGTTCTTAAGCGAAATTAGGGATTCGCAGCCGGAAGTCGATGCAAATTGATGCAAAGTCCAAAAAGATAGCCGAAAAACTGTTTAGAATTCCGGGAAAAGCAGCATTTTCGTTATAACTCGAGAACGACTGTAGCTATGGGGCTAAATTGGGGGATTGTTGTTACTTAGGGTCTGATACACCTCGGGTCCAAATTTGGGACCGACTGGATATAACACGGCAAAATGCGAGATGGTTCGTTTTTTTTGGACACGTTGTAAGTATCTTTGAATTAAGAAATTCTCTAAGTATTGAAATTTTGCTTAAACGTTAATACTGGCCGAGAAATGGATGTTGCCCAAAGATAATCGCCACCCGCAGAGATCCTACTCAAATTCAGCCGTTTTAACCTCGCCCCATATGGAGCCAAAATTTATCAAATATTATTACAAAAAATGTTTCATTCCCCTAGGACCTAAAATCTTAATATGTCATTTTAATGGGTCGCAGGTTCGATCTCACTTTTCAAAAACAATTCCTGGCTTCCGTTTCCGATGTTTACTATTTTTTCATCAAATTTCGGCACATTGTCCTTGATTTTGATCGTATTCTTGAAATCCGTATATTGAATTAACCCTTATTTCGCGAATTAACGTTAAGTTTATTTAGGTTTAGAGCGAGAGTGTTTTAGAAAACCTGACGCTGCAAGACTCTAATATAACGTGTATTTTTACAGCAATTTTTGAAACACATTTTTTAAGATTGATATAGATTTAACACATACCTAATTATTATATCGATTCACTTTTGCGTAATTTCGTATTCAATTAATCTAGGTTTCTAAAGAATTATTTTGGTCAGGAAAACCCACGAATATTTATGACGATTGTATCATGGCTATAAAAGGCCGACAATAATTTTCCTGAAACACATTTTTTGGAATCATTCACAGAAAATGAATTTTGCAAATACACCTGTCCTATAGTCCAAATTTTCTGCAAAATTCCCCACGTCCCCCGCAATTCATCATCCCTCGCTACCCATTTTTTCCTCGAATCGCTGAACTGTCAACTCGTATTTGCGCGTAGCCCCTCCCCTCCCTTCCCCAATGCACAGTGAAAGGGGTAAATTCCACGAACCAACGAATCCTTTATCACTTCTATCTGTGGCTCTCTCTCTCCCCCTCTCTCTCTCTCTCTCTCTCTCTCTCTCTTTCTCTTTCTCTCTCGCTCTATCTCTGCCTGTTTCTATGATCCCCTAATTGATGCGAGTATGGAATTTCTTGCATAGGTTCGAGATTTTTCATCACCGCGTGAACGAAATTCGGAAAAATTAAGTTTCATAATTTTCCCGAGAACAACAAAATTAAATTTCGATAGTGCGCTTTGGGGATTTCCTGAATAAAATTTGCCCAGAATTTTTTATTATTTATGGAAAAATCCACCCCAAGCACATGCACAATGAATCTTTTGTGAAGCTAGCGAAAAAGATGTTTCCAATCCTTCGATGAAACTACACGAGGTTATGAAACGCATTACGCGTCGGAAATCGGCCCGCATGCGCGTGACGCGCGCGACGGGTTGTCAATAAAATCTGGCTTGCCTATTCCTTTAAAGGGCTCGAGAAAGATGCATTTGGGCAAAAAGCAAAAGATTTTGCTGCGGGCGGGAGTCGAACCAGCGATCGTTCACCCCACGGCCCAGCGTGCTACCCAGTATACCATGGCGCCAACCGAGTCGCAGCGAAAAGCCCTCAAATACCCTAGGGGGGTTCCTCAGGCCGTTTCCGAGTTTTTAGCTTTGCTGCGCCCAAACTGCGTTTTGCACAAAAATTTCGAATTCCGAATATGAATTATGTCGATAGTAGCGTCTCGTCGGTCCGTCTCCCCGACGGACGCCTGCCCATCTTTCTCCAGCCCCTGAAGAAGATATATCAGATCGGCACATAAATCCATGTGAAATTAGGTGTTTCATCCCAATGCACTGACAGGGAATTAATGAAAACTGGAATTTTTTGAGTTCCCTTATTTTTAGCTATTTCTTCTTTTGCGCAAAAAAACGCGATCAAAGCTTTACGACCCACGTAGCCCTTATCAGCATAGAGGCGAAAAAACAGGGAGCCGACAACCGAAAAACTACCGGGACTCTTTGTGTTTGTTTACCAATTTTCAAAAATTGAAAGTTTGAAGAAGATTTCTGGGGGGTTGAAACTAAATTACGCAATTCGCTGACGGTTGGAAATTAGATAGTTGCAATAGAGTTTTTCTCAGGATTTTCCGAAAGTGATAATTTTCCACCAAGACTCTCCGCTAGCCTGCCCAACCTGGAATCGGGCAATCGTTAAAAATCTCGGCTAGTTGGGCCGTTGTTGGGCTGGTTTTACGTCAAAAATTAAAAAAACCATATAGCAGTCAGCTTCTGCAGCTCACTCTCTCTTTCTCTCACTCTCGCTCTCTCTCTGTCTCTCCCTCTTCCCATTATCCGCAAAGCCCTAAATAAATTTGTTTCAAGAAAGTTGCCAATTAAAGCTGCTTTCGTCAAGGTAATGCCTAGCATCGAGGTAATGCCTGCATTGGTTTAACTAAATTTAAAAGAGAGAGAGAGAGAGAGAGAGAGAGAGAGAGAGAGAGCGTGAGAGAGATAGGGGGAGAGAGTTTGAGGGAAATGAGAGAGAGCGGATGAAAGTAATAGAGGGAGAGAGAGGGGGAGGGAGAGAGAGAGAGGGAGAGAGAGAGCGAGCAAGAGAGGGATCCTCTCTTTCCCCCGTTGCTGTAATCGGCTATTCACCCCCCGTACAGTTTGGTGTGTCCATTTCCACATACAGCGAAACTATTTGTCCATCCCCCCTTCTGCACACTCTCCATAGAGACCCTCCGTCCCTTTTTTTGTGGTTCGGAAACGCCCCGCTGGGTATTCGAGACCCGTTTAGACTACCGCCGCCCCGGCAGATCGGCTCCAACTTTCCCGGGGCGTGAAACACGCGGTTTCGACATCGATTCTCAAATAGTCTTTCTAAGATTTATTTGGGTTCTTTTGCATTATCGGGGGTATAATTGCCTTCAAATTGCCGAAGCGGTGAAACGCCGTCTCTAAAACTCATGATTCAATGTTTTTTCCGGCTTCCATTTTGCCCCTGAATGGGAATTGAAAGTCGCTAAAAATGTGATGTTTCCAGAACAAGACGTATTAAATTTCCCGTTTGGGCTTATACCTGGCTAATCGATAAAACATTGATTTCTTAAACACCGATTTTGATGTTTCTACGTTTCATAAAGGCATTTTTCCCTTCGACGGGCCTTTAAAATGGTCAAATAGCTTTCAGATAGTAAATTTATCGGCTCAAACCGAGTTACAATGAAATTTGATTAGGCGACCTTAAATCCGGCCAAACGATGAAACCTTGTATTTTAAATTAGATTTTTTGTTTTTAAGATTAAGATTTTATTTTATATTCTTTTTGCCATTAGCGGGCCTTTGAAATTGCAGAGGTGCATTTATTTCAAAATCGTTAAAGGATGCGCCCCGCGTTTCGAGGCGGAAAACAATTTCGGGTTGCCCTCTTCTTCCGCCCTGGGTATTTCTGGCTCATTTGACTCTGTTTGTCTCGCTCTCTCTCTCTCTCTCGCGCGCTATCTCTCTCTCTCTCTCTCTCTCTCTCTCTCTCTCTCTCTCACAGCACGGAATTTGTTTGGGAGGAAAACAAGTCCCTCCCAACCCGCCACTACCCGGCCACCTATACCTCCCTTCCCCCGGTATTAGTGCCCGCCCGGTGCTCTAAATTCCGGGGATTTGCATAAGTATCGATCGTTTTTCGCATTGTTTCATTAATCGACGGAATTTCTGTGACCTTTATAGAACCAAATCATCCGAAAAATTTTGGAAGAATTCAATGTTTCATAAAACCAAAAAACTAAAAATTTTGCGCTGCCGATAATTGGTACCGTTTGTCTGACTTAAAATGGCGGCAGCTATTCCTCGCGAAAATTTTTCGAAAATTTGGTAAAAATCAGCTGGGGATAAAATTAGTGATTAAATTGATTAAAATATTATTATTATTAAATGTGTTTGTTGATTGAATTTTAGGGATGGTTTGCCCTATTTTGAAAATGGGATGATGAAAATAGATCATCCATAAAGGAAGCACACGCCATGACAATAATTTAAATCTG